GACGATGTAATGGAAGATATTGGGGTTTTTGACGTTATTGAGAATATATCAACTACTGATTCATCAATTCAACAAGAAAGTATAGGTCTAATAATTACAAAAATTCGAAAAATTGTTGTCATGTTCCGTAGATCACCAACAAAAAATGACATCCTCCAAAAATATGTTAAGGATGAATTTAAAAAAGAACTTACGCAAATCCCTGACACAAAAACACGGTGGAGCAGTATGTTGATAATGTTGGAAAGAATTTATGAGATTAAAAATTGTGTTCGTAAGAGTCTAATCGATATCAAATCCGAAATATATTTATCAGAAAATGATCTCAATGTTGTATCAAATATAATAATGGTTTTGCAACCTGTTAAAATAGCTGTGGAAGCTCTCTGTTCAAGGGACAAGAATCTATAGGTTGACAATTATTTTCATGTTGGATGAACTAAGTAACCAAAATAATTTCTCAAGTAATGAATTGAAACAAAAATTAATATTTCGAATAAGTGAGAGAAGAACCGTATATTCTGATATATATTCATATCTTCAAGAACCATGTCCACGTACAGCTTTAAATAATGAAAATAATTATGGCGTGTTTAATACAACAAGTAAATTGGTTATGGAAAAAAATATTGTAGAAATCATTCAACAATTTTTAAAAAACGATTCCGAAACTACTGAAGCTGAAGTTGTGCAAGTGTATGAAACGGAATCAACTAGTGAATCTACGGTTTTATCAGCAGTGGCGACATCAAGTCAAGCAATGTCAATGAAGGAAAATCTAAATTTAGTAATTGAAAAAAAAAATGATAACTATTGCTCACGAAGAGATTAGAGATTTAAAGACAACATCCGGTCTTTTAAATATAGTCAGGAAAGAAATGACGTATTTCAAGAAACAAAATTTTAAAGGAAAATATTTAAACAAACTCCAAAAGTATATTTCAGCAGTTCGCCCAACCAGTGTAGAGTCGGAAAGAGCTTTTTCTGCAGCAGGTTTAATTGGCACAAGGTACAGAACAAGTTTAAACAACGAAACATTAAATGTAATGTGTTTTTTAGGAGCTTACTTCAATAAACAACTTATGCTCCTTGAAAAGAATTGACTATATTAATTATTTTTATTTTTAAAATGAAGTTTTTTTTATATTTATGTTTGTTTATGTTTACGCTAAAATACAAAAATGTTAATGTATAATAAATGAATTAATTATATTTTATAAAAAAAATATTTTTGATTGTTTAATTTATTTGTTTTTAACTAGGATGGACCTGTAAACTGATGCTGTCTTACTAATATATTCATTTTTATGCTTTTTGTTGTTTTCAGTGTTTAGATTATTACTATTTAAGCCTTTAAAACCGATAAATTACCGGTGACCCGATAATAATTTTTTTTTTACCGAATTATCGGTTTTTTAAAATATCGGTAAATTTACTAGCACTAGAAGCTACGCTACAAAATTAGCCTAGTTTTGCAATAAAACTCAAAAAAAAAAAAAAATTGTTGACATGAATTTTAACTGACCCCCCTCCTCCTCCTTGTCAACAATTGTCAAAAAAGTTCAGACCCCCTCTCCCCCCTATTTTGTTGACGTAATTAATGGACAACTCCTTAACAAACAGTTGTTTGCTACCTTGTTGGGACAGGGCAGCATGCAACCACTATTTAAGATGGGACAGAAACAGATAGAAAGAGCAAGAAAGTAGAATACTTAAAGATTTGATGAATAGAAGAACATTAGGACGAACTTTCATGAACAACATTGGAGTATTTATTAAATAAAAATCTTTTTAGAGCTCAATCCATGAGAAGTTGGAAGTTATCAACAACTTTTTTAATTAAAGAATTGTTTCTATCAGCGAAGAAATTGGATTATCCCTTATTAATCCTTAGAATAATAAACCCTTAGAAAAACTATTATCAAACTACTTTTATTTTAGTGAAAAAAATAAAATAAAAATAATTTACTATTCTTTTTTCTCAAATCTTTGTTTATTTTGATTTAATTCTAAATTTTAAAATAAAAACTAGTTTTGTTTCAAATTTTTTAATTTAAAACTCAAAAAGTGTTCGTTTTCCACAAGACGAAAAATTCGCGCAAAGCGAATATTTTCGTCGTTAAACATTTTTGGCGATTATACTGATTTTTCTGATTTTTTTTTCGCTACAGCGAAAAAAAAAGTCGGATTCATTTCGACTTTTTGCGAATCGCCATAAGCGAAAACCAATAAAATTTTGAATATTATATCACGTGATGTCAACATTAAAAAAAAGCGAAAACATGTTTTTAAAGTAACAAAAAACAAAATTCTTAACCTGGCGTTCTTATTAATTTTATATGAACTTACTCTGAAAATTAGCTAGCATAAGTAAATTTATCAAACAAGGGGCAAGACTTACATAAAAAAATGACCAGACTTATATATAAAACTAAATCGAAAATTTACAAATATTAATTTTCACACTGTCAATTACGAAAGTTACACTTCATAAGAATGTTTATCTTCAAATGGCCACACGAAGATAAACCTTTTTGTGAAAAATTCTTTATAGAGTTAAACATGCTGTTCGTTCTTGCAGTAATAGTTTTTAATAGAAATGTTCATATCAGAGTTTAGCATTTAAAAAAAACCTTATATTAAACAATTATATTACAAAATAATATCACATCTTACATATAAAGGCAGAAATGTTAATATTAATGCACGGAAAGAAATTTTCACATGCTCCAAAGTAGAAAGTATGCTAAAAAAGTATTAACTGCTTTCAGTTAAATAAACAGCGTAAACTTATTGCTGCCATTTTTATTGTTGACAACGAAAAAAAAGTAGCGCGAAAGAAAGTAAGTGGAAATCAAAACAGCGTTTCGTCGTTGCGAAAAAATTCGCTTCGCGCGAATTTTTCGTCTTGTGGAAAACGGCCTTTAAGTTTTCAAGAGGTTTTAGCTGTAAAATTTTTAAGAGCAACTATTTTTTTTTGAAAAATTGCAGAGTTATGGTTATTTCGTGCTGTGCATATGGATGCAAAAATCGCCAAAAACAAGGCGTGTCTTTCACATGTATGACAAAACACTTATAATAAGTATAAGTGTTATACCTGTGAAACGACACGCACTTATATAACACTTATACAATAAGTATAAGTGTTATACCTGTGAAACGAAACGACCCATCATACCTGTGAAACGATACGCCTTGTTTTGTATTGGTATAATACTAATATTAACTGTCGTTAGTATTTATATAATAATAATACTAACAATACTAGAAATACACTTATAATTAAAGTGTAATACTATTATCAAATGAATAAGTTATTACAAGGCACATTAATAATTGTATATTATTAACTGTATACTATTTATTATTTTATTTTCTTTGTGAATTGTTCATTACAATTAGAAAGTCATTATTTGTACGTGCGTACAAATAATGTTTACAATAATATATAATAAAAATATAATATGATAAATAAATATAATATATAATAAAAATAATGTTTACAAATAACTCTTATTTGTACGTAAAAAGAATTAAAGTACTTAAATTCATTTATCAATATAAAGTTCGCGTACTTCTGTGGATGTGAAAAAGTTAATTTTTGAGGCACGGCCGAAATGGTTGAAGGTTCTAATCTTCATTTAGTCTCTAAGTAGTTTTATGTCTTTTAAATATAATTGTTGTTTATTTATCAAAGTTTCATTAAATAAGTGCATCAATCCGTACATAAATCGACTGATTTAGATGCATCATTTTTATGAGGACTTACATGTTATTCAAGTGATAAAAAAAAAATCGCAGCTAGATTTTTAACCGTTTGACTCAAAACGTAAAAAATATCTAGAACTTATTCAAGGAATAAAAGTAGGTCTTCGACTTGGTAAAAAGCGCCTTTTTGTTAAATGGTTTTAAAAATTTACAGGTTTTGATTTATGCCTACTTTTAATTGAATATATTTTTAAATCTATCTTTTATTACAATACTAATACTTCTACTACTATTAAAATCGACTCTTGTTAACTCCGGATTCTATTTTTTATCTCTACAAACCTCAAATCCGGCCTTGTATGGAATACTGTTGCCATATCTGGGACGGATCTTCTAATGACGCCCTTTCTCTTTTAGATGACAAAAACGCATTGTAAACATAGTTAGACCTGCTCTTGCAGCCAACCTCCAGCCATTATCACATCGTTGTAATGTTGCTTCTCTTTCTCTTTTCTACAAATACTATAATGGGCACTGCTGTAAAGAGCTAGCGTCTTTTGTGCCATCTACTAAAATTTATTCTCGAGTTATTCTTCATTCAATTAAGTCTCATCCTTTTACTGTGACTGTTTCTAAGTGCTCCAAAAACTCTTATTCGTCTAGTTTTTTTCCTCGAACATAAGTTCTTTGGAATTTACTTCCTTCATCTGGCTTTCCTGATTTATATAATTTGCAATCTTTTAAGTTTTCTCTTCCAGTAACTTCCAACACTAATTAGTGGTTGCTTGCAGCCTTGTTGGAAGCGAAGATGTTAAAAAAAAAAAATTTTTATAGTCGCGTCTGATGTTTTTTTCCGTACCGCAAAATGGAGGACGCTGGCTTCACTAAGTTATACGCAAAAAGTTGCGAGTCACGCATCTAATTATATTATTACGTCATTGAGCATAAGTCAAAAAATGATTTCATTTTTACTTTAGAAATGTCGAGTATGTCGAGTTATTTTTATATAAAAATAACTCAACATCTCAAAACATTTAGTTCATGGAGTCGTCAGATTTATTTAAAATACTTTGCATAAACAATGCTTGCATCGTACATCTACTAAAATGGATATAATCAAAACTTTAATTAAAAATATAAAAAATCTTTCGACGATTTAACGTTTTAACTTTGCATCTAAAAGTTTCTCGATTTCTCGTCAAATAACCAGGAAAAAAAAACAGTCTCAGATAAAACTACTAATTATCAGATTTCAAGTTCAATAATTCTAGTTAGACACAAAAAAAGATCTATTTTCTTTAATCTATAATTTTATTTTTTATACAAACATTTTAAAATAAATATATAACTGCTACTACGATAACGCCACTAACGGAATTAAAACGACAACGTCACTAACATAATTACAAAAATAAAAAAAAATGAGGTATATAATTTTTTTTTTTTTTTAATTATCAACCTCAAAAGATTTATAAAAAAACCCCGCAGATTCTTACTATATTACTCAAATTTTAATGTGTTATCTAAATCTAATAAGATCTGATGGCAGGGGGTACCATTGCACACTCTACTTCATCTAAAGTGGCATCAATAACAGGTCGATAGTCAAGAGATACCTAATAAGCAAACAATGTAATGTAATGTAATAGATGAACATGAAACAAAGTAAATAAGAATCGAAAAAAAAAAACAAAAAAAAACCCATAACAAAATCATTAAAGAAGAAAAATACCTTTCCCGTCTCTATATTTTGATATGACAATGTGTGTTTACGCCAATGCTCGTTCAAAGGTTTCTTTTTCTGACCTTCTAAAGGTTTGCTGTAGTCAAATTCATCTATACGCATCTAAAGATAAAAAAATATATTTTAAACATGCAAAAATTTGTTATACTGTTACAACCTGATCCTATAACCAGCCCGTACTAATGGAGATATAACCATCTATATATATAATATAACCAGCCCGTACTAATGGAGAGGTTACGAAGAATATTTTGCCATACTCATAAATATAAAACTTTGGCATATTACGTAAAAGAAAAAAAAATTTCTTAACAGAGGAAAAAAAAAAAAAATGAAACTATTAAAGCAAAAACCATATTCGTTTTTACAACCGAAGAACAAAACTAAACTCGAAATTTTTTAAAATGATCTAAAACGATTTTACCTTGTAATCTTCTCTAGCATGCGCTCCACGACTTTCTTTTCTGGCTTCTGCAGACACCATTGCTTGACAGGAGTTTAACATTAAATTTTGAAGTTCCAGAGCTTCAACAAGATCTGTATTCCATATCATACCACGGTCATAAAGCTATATATATATATATATATATATATATATATATATATATATATATATATATATATATATATATATATATATAGGGACGCCGCGTGGGGAGGGTCACTGGGTACATTTTACCTGGGCGCAAGATCAGAAGGGGCGCACAAATAAATTTTTTTTTTTTAATTATAAAATAGATGCACAGGGCTTTAATGAAAAACTTTTTAAACTCGTAATTTAAAAATGAATTATTCAACAATACAGCATTAGCCGAATTCATATATGAATTCATAAATATATATATATATATATATATATATATATATATATATATATATATATATATATATATATATATATATATATATATATATATATATATATATATATATTAAATATGGAATGGTGACATGAATGGAGTTAAAAAATGCCACCAAAACAATCCATCGAGACTATTACATTAAGTAGAAAACAGCGCTAAAAGGAAAACCAGTGCAGGATTGATTCAAGTTTAGAAAAATTGATAAGAAATTAGGCAGCCAGACAGAGTGAAATTTTAAAGTGCTTCTTTGATGTAACTCTCTTCTTAGCATCACGCTTTAGAGGTATATTGGTGAATGTTAATTATTATATTTATATTTATGTCATAATTTATTTTATTATACTTAAACAGAAAATCATGGTTTATATGTGTAAACATGTATTATTAAATGTATGTATTAAAATCATCGTTTTAGACTCTTCAAAAGTGATCAATGATGACGATAACGGCAATTTTTTTGGAACTCTAGAGCTACTCGCAAAGCACAACAAGACCCTTTAGATACATTAGAAAGAGATTTTCTGGTATCAACATGAAGATAAACAAATTATTGTGCGTTTTTTGGGTTGGAATTCCCAAAATGAGTTTATAAAAAATTGCGGAAGAATCGTCAACGGTGCCATTATTAATGATGCGCATATAGTAATTTACGTCTCTTATACTGAGCAAATTGCATTTGTTCTCCGCTTTGTTTACAATGGTATTGATAAAAGACAGGTAGTTAAGGAGCGCTTTCTTAAGGTCGAAAATCTTGAACAAAACAAAGTTGCGGATATTGCCAAGATAATTATGGATTTCTAGGATCATAACGACATCAACCTGAAGAACTGTTCAGGTCAAGGGTACAACAACGGTGCTAACATGTCTGGTGTGTACAAAGGAGTAAAAGCGATCATCCTTCAGAGAAATCCTGAAGCTTTTTACATGCTATGCAGCGCTCATAACCTTAACCTAGATGTTGATCATTCCCTTGAATCTTCTGTAGAAACGAAGAACTATTTTCTCCGGATTCAGTTACTCTACAATCTTTTTAGTGGAAGTCCTATACAATGTCAAATCTTGACCAAGAGAACTGGTTTGTCTCGTCATTAAAACTCACAAAACCGATGGAGTGCACGGATTGAGATTTTGAAGCCGTTGGTTAAGCAACATAGAGAAATTATTTTTTCTTAGCAAAAACTTCAGGAACTTGATTTAACTACTGATGTATTGAATAACGTAAAATCTTTGGAGAAATGGATTTATTCATTTGAGTTTATTATCATGACAACCTTCTGGTTAGAAGCGCGCCAAGCAATTGTCAGCGTGTCATTTCAATCAGAAAACATTACTTTAAATGAAGAGATGAAACTTATTAGGGTTCCTATCGAGGATCTTATGAATTTAGATATTCTTGACCCAAATAAATTAATGAAGCACATTTGGTTATCTCCGGTCTAGCTAGTTATGGGTTTTAGTCAAAGTTAGTTCAAAAAAAGACAGGAAGAGAAAAACCTTTTACAAAGAAGCAAGGAATGAAGTTCATTTCTAAGAAAAATATGAAAAGTAGTTTGAGGTGAACGTGTGCCCGTTTTTCAAAACACCTTTAGATGCTTTTTACGTATTTCGAGAAAAACGCAATTAAAAACTATTTTTAAAGACCTTTGAAAAAAACAATTATTCAATAACCTTTGCAGGCACCTAAATAAACTTATTTTCTAAAAAAGTTGATTTTGATTTTTTTTACCTTAAGGCGTTGACAAGCGAAAAACGGCTGAAGAACACCACTCTCAATCTTTAATCCAAAAATATAAGAAAGATTTCGAGCTGCAGAAAAAATGACAAACAGTTTCTCCTTCCTATGGTTCTCGGAATCTAATAGTAGGTCGAGTGAAGAAAATTGAACCACCTAGCCTGGAGGAGAAATGTAAAACTTTGGCGCAAATCTATGTGAACAATGTAGATGAAGACATACTAAATTTAGAGGTCCATCATCTGGATATTCTGAAGCACGCCAAGCTTTTCAGTCCAAAAGAATATCTTACTTCAACGAAGCAATTAAATGGGATCTATTAAATAGGTCTAGAATCTATCTTCGAATCAATAGGCATTTTGTTACGTATTTTTAACACGATTCTTGTTTCCATTGCCGAAAGAGAGATTTTCGGTCTAGACAACATTAAGATCTACATTAAGTCAAGACCGGCTAACCAATTTCTTAGTTATATCTATTGAATACGATCTTGCAAAAAATCTGTGCTACAATGATATCATTCCAAATTTTGCTAAAAATTAAACCCGTAGAGTCAATAAAGTTCAGTAACTTGTCAACTTGTGCTTCTTCTTTACTTTTATTTCAAATTTATTTTAAAAATAAATAGAAGCCTCCTCGACTGTATTTACTCCTTCGGTCTTTAAAATTGAACTTAGTTAACAAAAAAAATAAAAAGACAGTATTTGGACAGTACCTAAACTTTTTAGAAATAGATCAATATGACAGGGCGCTAGATATGTTTTGACCCCGGGCGTCATAAAGGATCGCGGCGGCCCTGTATATATATATATATATATATATATATATATATATATATATATATATATATATATATATATATATATATATATATATAATGTATATATATATATATATATATAAATATACTAAGTTTAAATACAACTGTTTAACCATTGCCTAGTTTCTTAAGTATGTATAGGCTATTAATCAAATGAGACGTACAAAATATATTTATTATGTTGAGTTGATAACCGTATATTAAATGGTCATATTTGTACTTGGTAACATTTTCCTTGCAGATATTAAGAACATGGCCATCTATACAAATTTAATAACGAAAAATAACAACATTAAGCTGCTCATTACTGCACTGGGTGTGACTGGCAGCATTAGCTAGCCCTTGTCATAGAAAAAAAAGTAATCGAGAGTTTATGTATTGCTTGTATGGCATCAAGGACAATACTTCTACCGAATGAGCACTGGAACTTGACTTTTTTAATAATTCATTAAATATATGTTAAATATTTGTAAAACGCTTTGAAATGTCATTAACCAGTCTATATATTAAATCACATTAACACAACCAGACTGGTTGTGTTAATGTGATTTTGATGGTTGTGTTAATGTGAGATTTGATATAGACTATATATCAAATCTCAGCAGCACAAACAAAATAAACTTTGAATAGTGTGTCCACAAATAGTACTTAAACTACTCATTTAAAGTCTAAGAATCGAGTGTTATATTTAACTTGTTATGTTTTTATATTTATATATTTTTATATTTAAATTTATTTATACTTAACTTACATATAGTTTTATATTTAACTTGCTTCGTAATTTTTTTAAATGTAATTTATTTTTTCAACTTGCAAATTATTCACATAAAAGCATGACTTATAGACATGAGAATAGATAATAAGTACTTTAAAAAAAAATCTTTCACAAATACAAGAGCAAGATTCAAAACAAGTTGCAAACGTTTATTAAGAGATTTGGGATTGAGCTGAAGCAGATTTTCCTATTTCTATCTTTAGTGATTTCATCACAAAAGATAGAAATAGGAAAACTTGGAAAAGGTGTTATAGATAACATAAGAAACTTCACTTCAAAGTAAATACAAGACCTATTTTAGACATCTTAAAAACATTAAAATGCTTATAAGTAAGGTTAAATACATCTCATTTTTACTGAAAACACTTGAAATAATTTCTTGAAGGGTTTTAACATTTTAAATAATTACTTAAAGGTGACTGATCAACACTGATTGGCAAAAATAATAAAAATTGAAAAGTAGACAATCAAATAATTTTTTTAACAATCAAATTTTTCAAGTCTTGAGATCATTAATTGGTCATTATTTTGAGCGCTGCTGGGTTAAAGAAAGATGCTCAAAATCATGTAAGTTGGAAAAACAATGTACATACGCAAAACATCCAACCTATACCAGCACGGAAACAACAACTTAAACAATGATTTATCTGTATGTAAACTCAATTATATGCATTAATCATGGATTAATACTTAAATTTTTACAAATGATCAACGAATAAGAAAAAATAATGATATTTTAATATAATATAATTAAAAAAATATCCTTTTATATTTATACTTATGCATTGTTAATATATGTATTATATATATATATATATATATATATATATATATATATATATATATATATATATATATATATATATATATATATATATATATATATATATATATATATATATATATATATATATATATATACATATATATATATATATATATATATATATATATATATATATATATATATATATATATATATATATATATATATATATAAAGGCTTTGTGCAACTTAAATTAACTAACTAAATATATATATAAAATATATAATAAATAAACATTTTGTAATGTCAATATATATGTGTTAAATTTATAAAAACAATACGTTTGTATCAAGAGACATTGACATATTGAAAAAAATTTTTACTGCATATATTAGACCACATCTGGAGTTTGCCATACAAGCCTGGAACCCTTACCTTGATAGTGACATAAAAAAAATTTAAAAGGTACAATGCAATGTCACGAAAGTTCCTCATGCTTTGAAAAATAAAGACTACAAAACTCGATGTAAAATCATGAAATTAACTACTGTTGAAGACAGAGGGAAAAGAGGCGATCTTATTCAAAAATATAAGCTTCTCAACAATTTAAACTTAATTGATTGGCACGTAATGCCTGGCAGCATAGCACCCAGAGCTCAATATCGAATCAGATTTCATCGCGAGATTGTCAGGAACTGCGAAATCAGACATAAGTTTTTAAACAACCGTGTAGTCAATGACTGGAATGCTTTGCCAGATAATGTCATCAAGGCAACATCACTTGATAAGTTTAAACAACTACTAGACAGTTTTCAGTCATCATAGTTGCTACAACTCATCATTTACCGTAAATGCCACACAAAAGTGGCCGAAATAAGAGTTGGGTATAGATGCTCAGCTGATGATGAGTTTAACTAGGCTGTGGCTTTGTGCAACTTAAATTAACTAACTAACTAACTATATATATATATATATATATATATATATATATATATATATATATATATATATATATATATATATATATATATATATAGTATTGGACAAAACATTTGCAACCAACATCGAACAATGCTAAAAAGTGTTCCTAATTTTACATGTCTTAAAAACAAAACGAACTATACTTCCACAGCAAACAGCTCAGGAGTCTGGACATAGCATGCCATGACATGAGCAATCAGCTGACAGGTGACAGCACACAGGCAGAATTTGGTTGACGAGTGTTATTTTGCAGCGAACAAAACAAGTGCAACTTATTTGGTTTGTTTCATTGTCTAAAGTCTGGTCCTTGTCAATGTCACGGAAGTTTTTTAATAATTAAAGGAAGTATCCAGAAGTTTCCAGAAGCATGCAGAAGCTTCCAGAAGTTTCCAGAAGAAGCATCTGGAAGCATCCAGAAGCATCCAGAAACATTCAGAAGCATCCAGACGCTTCCAGAAGCATCATAAAGAAGCATCTAAAATCTTCCAGAACAGGTTCACACAGGTTCATTTTACTATATAAGAGACATGTAAACCGACATGTAATTCAGTCAGTATATGGAAGTCAATCAGTCAGTATTATCAAGACAGTTTATTGAAGTGAGTTTCATCAAAGTGTTTTATCGAAGAACATCAATACAAGAAGTGAAATACAACAAGTGTTTCATTATATCAATACAGTCCACATCCAACCAATACGTTGTGTTCCACAGAGCTTTATTGTATCATCACAAGGTAAATGTAACACAAAAAGCTTTGAGAAGCGTGATTATTTATTTTTATTATTTTTATGACTTCAAGTGCAAAAATGGCTCCCGATTGTCTTGGATTGGAACTAAGAAAGAAAATTAATGGCGATTATGTAAGTGGAATGTCACAAAAAAGTATTTGTGATAAATTTCGCATGAATAAATGGACCGAATCAAGACTATGTTCCAAATATCATTCTACGGGGAAGTTGGCAGCAGATAACAAAGGTAGAAGACCGTGTTCCACCACTTTAAGAGAGGATTCTATGATCCCCAGATCCGTCAAAAAGGATCCCTGGATATCATTAGTCGAGATACAAAAGCAATTAGATCTGCCTGTATCGAACGGAACAATCAGACGGCGTGCTGTTGAAGCCGGATTGTTTTCTCGACACCCTGCAAAAAAACCACTGATTTCACTAAAGAATGACTGGAATGTGCAGAAATGGAGAACTGTCCTGTTCAGTGATGAATCGAAGTTCAACATCATTGGGAGCAAAGAAATTTGCCGTTTATGTTGACCAGCCGGAAAACGCGTCGATTTACGTTACTGCTATAAGACCGTGAAGCATGGTAGAGTCAATGTAATGGTCTGGAGGTGTTTTTCTGCTAGCAGTCAAGGTCCAATATATCGAATCGATGGAATAATGGACCGTTTCATATATAAAAATATCCTGAAGGAAGTTATGTTACCTCATGCTGAATGAAATATGCCAATAAAATAGGTTTTTCAGCAAGACAACAATCCAAATCATTGCAAAAGTACTCAACCAGTGGTTTCAATACAACCACCTATCGGTGATGGATTGGCCGCCTCAATCTCCGGATCTCAACCCTATCGAGAACCAGTGGGAGATCATCAACCGCAGAATTAATCGTGAAGGTGTTCGTAATAAGGATCAACTGTTTGAACAAATCCAAAAGACCTGGGCAGCAATTCCACAAAGTTTCATTGATCACCTGATTGAATCTATGCCTCAAAGATGCAAGGCTATAATCAACAACAATGGATTTGCCACAAAATATTGATAGAGAAATACAGCTTGATCAACATTTTATGGAGTTGCACTTGTTTTGTCCAGAAGGAAATCAACTATTTTTAATACTTTTGATTAATTTATTAATTTTCGTGTACTAATAATGAACTTTGTGATGATTAAAACTTGAAGGACGTTGTCTCTAAACAGTTACATAGTTATTTCTCTAAATTTAAAAAATGCATCACTTTTATATAAAGAAACTAAATTAGCATTATTTGGTTGCACTTGTTTTGTCCGATACTGTGTGTGTGTGTATATATATATATATATATATATATATATATATATATATATATATATATATATATATATATATATATATATATATACACATACATATATATATATATATATATATATATATTTATATATATATGTATGTATGTATATATATATATATATATACATATATATCAACCCTCGGAATTAGGGTCGGCATTCAGCAATGCTGACCTAACCGTAGACCATAAAGTGTTTGAGGTCAGCAAATAATTACCAACCTCGTTTCAGATAATACCTTTGTATTGAATATTTTTTGCCGACCTGATGCCGACCTCTAAAAGATTGAAGTCGGCAAATTATTGCCAACCTTGTTTTTCGAAGGGTTGATATATATATATATATATATATATATATATATATATATATATATATATATATATTCATATATATATATATATATATACACACACACACAAAATAAAAAAAAAAAAAAAAAAAAAAACTTTAATGAACTACAAAATATTTGTTGAAAAACTATTCAAATGTTAGGTTTAAAAGAAAACCCTTAGATAAAAAAAAACAATAAAAAAAAAACCTTAAGATCCTTCAACTCATCATAAGCCTGATAAATCTTTGACACTCCTTCTGCCAAGACAGCACCAGTCCTGAATACAGCTGCATGTCCTTGCATAATCTAAAATATTTGTTGATAAAAACAATACATTAGAACTCACAAAGAAGTGTGCATGCAATGCACACATTGTATTGCATACACTTCTTTATGTACGCAAAATTGCAAAGTTAATTATGTAGATGTTAAACCACACAAATAATGCCTAGTATGATGTTATCTAAAAAATGTTAACATAATGAAAAATGTTTGTAAATAAATGTATTTACAAAAACATGTATATACAAAATACAATACCAAGATTTAATCTGATAAATATAATAGCATCTATAAATGGTATCTCAGTAAAAGAAAACACTGAAACAAGAAAACAATTTCTCAGTAATAAAACCAATGGTTGTGGTAACAATGGTAATAATTTCAAACTATAAAGACAATTAAAATTATAAATAAAAATGATGGGGTAAAAAGTAAACTAAAGTGGAGGTTGAGCCTCTTGCTTTCACATCACACTTAATTAAAATGAGCTCTACACATAATAAATATTGTTATTTCTTACTTGATATATAATAAAACTATATAATATATATATATATATATATATATATATATATATATATATATATATATATATATATATATATATATATATATATATATATAATAATATATTTTATAATGTAATTTTTTTAACTAATAATAAGCCTCAAAAATGTTTTGGAAAAATTTTGCTACTTAAAATCTATAAACTCAAAGATATTTTATACACAATATTAACATTCTCAAATAACCTTAAAATATGATTATATTGAATAGTTATGAGAAAAACATTTTTTTCTTTAACTGACTTAAATTAACTAATGTTAACTAATTTTAAACTAAAATTAGCATTAATTAAATAATTAACTTCAAAAAAAACCATTGTATGAGAGAAAAAGTTAATTAACTTTAAAACAAACAATTAAAAAAATGAGAGAGAGAGCAAGTTAATCTTTAATACAAAATATACTTCAAAAAAAAAAAACATTGCGTAATTTCAGCTTACCTGGTGTTTCAATAACAAAATATAAACAGAAATTAAACTTTTAATTTCTAATAGCATAATATGATTCTGGGTTGTTTAAAATAATAACAACTAACTAGTCCCATTTTATTTATTAAAAAATGAGTAACAATGGTTATTATCCATTTTTTTAAAAATCAAATAAAATTTATTTCTAAAAAGAGTGTTATAAAAAATACAATCTTTTGTAACTATGTTATGCGTGTATGTTTGTAACTATGTTATGTGTGTATGTTTATAACTATGTTATCAGCGCTCGAAATAGTTTTTCAAAACTTGCCGATCAAATGTAATTTTTTGACAAAAACAGTTTATTTTCCCTTGAATTTTTCTAAATTTCCCTAAAAATAGCCGATCATTGATCGTTGATCGGCTGTTATTTCGAGCGCTGTGTTATGTGTGTATGTTTGTAACTATGTTATGTGTGTATGTTTGTAACTATGTTATGTATATGTTTGTAACTATGTTATGTGTGTAAGGAAAGAAAAGAAAGGAAAAAAAGACAACATATTTTGAACAACCAACAAAAGTACAAAACTAGTTTGCTAATCACCAGTTGAAAAATCGCTCCGTAAAAAATAAATAACTTTGTAAAAAATAACTTTAACCAAGTCAGGTAGAAAATACTTAATTTTAAAGTTAATTAGCAATACCTTTTGCATCTTTAATCTCAAATTTGCAGTTGGTGTGTGTCCATTGGCAAACCGAACCTTATCAAGATTGGCCACAGATACTTCACCAATATCCTATAAAAAAAAACACATAAAATAATGCAAAGTAATGCATAACTTTTTTAGAAATACATTATATAAAATAAAATTAGAAACACAAATTTTAGTAAAAGTAAATATGAAAAACATGAAATGAATTTATTGTTGCAAATGGCCAATTGAGTAATTGTAAATGGCAATGGTGTGAACGGATTTAGCAAAGCTGAAATTTTGAAAACTAAAGAAATTGCAACTACATGGATTTATATGCTTGTAAAAGTTTTAACTTCTTTGTTAAATACAGAATAGCATTTAACAAGGAAGATAATGCCACTTTCCTTATCAATGTCATGCAGGGTTGGAAAAAATCCAACTCAACTAATTTTTTTGGGTTTTTGCTACCAAAGTATCATTCAGGGGGAAGAAATAAGGCTAGTGAGTGGAATGAAGTGACCATATTAAGTGATCAACCAAATAGAGTAATTATGTAATTATTGCAAAGTAAGCATAATATAAAAAAATAAAGTTTGGATAAATGCAGAAGAAAGAAAAAAGGAAGCGCTAAAAATTCTGTTGAAGTATTAAGCGATATAACAGTTTTAGAGTCAAGGCTATCTACATCTGTAGCATCAAATAAGTCTAACCAATCATATGATAATGAGCAAGATTGTTTAAGCTTTATTAGTGATTCTTCTTAATCATCAATTGTTCAGTCAACTGCAATGAAAATGATAGAAAATCTTGAATTTTCCAAGCTGCCTAAAAAATTTAGACCTGGATACGAGCCACCAAATAGAAAACAAAAATCTTCATAACTCTTGGTAAAGATAAATGAAGAAGTAATCAATTTAATGAAAAATGATCTTGCTGATAACTGCACTGTTATCCTAATTCAAGATGGTTGGAGTACATTAAGTAATTATCCTAATTAATTGCTTATAGTATCCATAATGGAAATATCTCATTTCTGCAATTGACATATATATATATATATATATATATAATATATATATATATATATATATATATATATATATATATATATCTACTATAGCATATTTATATGTGCAATTGCTCACTTTATTTGCTAGCCTAAATTAAGTGAGCGTTTTTAGAAAACGATGAGGGAAAACGAAGAATAATGAATGAAAATGTTGCTGATCCATCCCAAACCCTCAGTCGATGTAGCAACACTCCACTGCAAGTCAGGCTATTTGTCAGTCGATGTAGGTACTGAAGCCCCCGGCAGCAGGCTATTTGACGTTAGGTGAGTAGTTAGGTGAGTTAGATGACATCATCATGCTGACCTAACTCAGCAGTATAAGATATATCTCTATATATATATATCTCTATATATATCTCTCTCTCTCTCTCTCTCTCTCTCTCTCTCTCTATATATATATATATATATATATATATATATATATATATATGTATGTATGTATGTATGTATGTATGTATGTATGTATGTATGTATGTATGTATGTATGTATGTATGTATGTATGTATGTATGTATGTATGTTTGTATGTAATGTATGTATACTTTTTTATTTTTTATTTAGGTATTGGCAGTATGCATTGGCAACAAAAATAAAATGTCTAAAATGAGAAAACTTTTGCAGGTTGAAGCTCTTAAGTTGGTTGCTCTGCTCATTTTTTAAATTTGATTGAAAAGGATGTCTCTCCGAAGTCTGTAGTAAAGCATATTATAGCAATTCATAAATGTTTTTTTAATCATCACCAACCACACATATGTATTAAATTCTAGATTGAGATATATATTAAATTCTAGATTAACTTATTGATCATATTCTGAAATACAATACTATGAAATAAAACAGCTGTGTTAATGATATAGGCCTGAATAATAATTATGGCAAAAGAGATCCTAGCTTTATTTTAACAAAACTATTTTTTAATATTTCTTAGTTAAATTTTCTTAAACAACTGTATTATAGGGATGGTTATTAGAAAAAGGTGGACTGATGTCACAGTTACCCAATGATACTCTCTAAAACTCCTAACTAGATTGTTTACGAACTTACATTTCTAATCATTCTCTGTACGTTAACATTAGAGGTGAGCATATGGAGTCCATTGATCCTTCAATAGGAAGCCTAATTGATTATCTGTCAATGCAGAGAGACGCAATAAATTTACATGCACAACTGAAAATTGTTGATGTCGCGTTAGATAAGGTTAATAAAATTAGTTAGTAACTGAATGTATTAAATTTAATTAAAATAAGTATATTAAAACTACTTATTTTTGGCATCATGCCATCATTAACTTTATTTATATAATTAACTAAATTATTGCGTTAGCTGTAGTTGCAGGCATACAATACAACTCTGTCTGAGTCAGTTGAGATTAGGCAAGCCTTACACATAATAAAAAATTGGCTATGTACAAAGATGATATTTTAAAGAGGTTTAGCAATCGTTCCATGCTATTTTCTGGTTAATTTAACAGATTCAAAATATCAAGGTAACTAAACCAAAATATGGAGGTAAATCTTTCATTTTTTTCTTTAAGATATAAAATTTTCATTCAAGTTTACAACTCTTATAACTTTACTTATTTACTTATGGAAAACATTGGATAGAAGTCAAGAAGAAGAAGCTGAGGAATTGTTGAATAAAGTCTATCCTGAATTTATGCCCGGCTACAATGCATTTAAACTAAAAGATGCTAATTGTTTCCCAACATATTTATTCAACGATAGTGTAAAAAGCACAACACAGCAACAAATTAGTGGAGAATTATAGAAATAAAGGAATGTAAGCCTTCCAAATTGCCTGCAAAATTTTCAAGATTTTTATGGCAGTTGCACACTTGTCCAGCTAGTACTGGATCCTTTAAAAGATTTTTCTCATCTTTTGCCATATTTTGGAGCAAATTTAGGAATTTTTTAGAAAAAGAAAAAGTTGAAATGTTTGTACAAATTTATTGACATTTAAAATCAAGTTGCACAATTGCCGATGACAAAGTTGTTAGATAACTGTTTTAAATGTTTAAATTTGAATATTACTGCTCGAGGTAAGATAAAATTCTCATTTATGATTTACTAAACTTCTTATTTTGTTGTTATAATAATTGTTGATCAGCATCAAATCTGATCAACAATTATTATAATATATAATAACAATGTGTGTGAATGGAAATTGATTTATGAATAAGAAAATAAAAATTTAAAAATTTTGAACCAAAATCCCATTGAATTGAATTTTTGGGTACCAACCCTGATGTCATGTTGCTAGAGCAGAAATTGAACCTCAGAACCTCTTAGTTCAGAAATTAGCACTTTTAGCACACCATACCTCTTGGTTCAGAAATTAGCACTGTAGTAAAGATGGTAGAACGAAGATAGTGCTAACAAGAAGTTATTTTAATTAAAAATTTCTTTTTCATGAAGATTGCATTACATTATATACTATGATAAAAATTAAAACATTCATATATATTAACTTTTTTTAAAAGAAATAAAAACATTTAAGTTTGTATATAAAAAGTTAAAGTTAAATTTAATCATAAAAAATTAATAGTTTATAATTAATATAGAGAAATACAATTGCATAGAGAAAACAAATTTATTTCCTTTGAAAGAAAATAAGAGTTGTTAACTTTTGAAAATAAGAGTTGTTAAAAAAAGAAGATTTAAAAATCCACGGCTTAAGAAACCTAAGAAAAATCAACAATTTTAAATAGGATTTATTGATATTACTTGCAAAAAAAAAAAACTTACACTGACAAACTTAAAATAACTTACACTGGGTAAATCAGGAATGCTGTCTCCAGGCTTATTTTTGGCAGCAATATCTAAGGCACAAGCACGACCAAATATGACTAAATCGAGCAAAGAATTAGCTCCCAGACGGTTAGCACCATGAACTGAAGCACAAGCAGCTTCACCTGCAGCATACAAACCTTCCACAATAACATCTTTACCATTATGATGTTGTATTACCTGTTAACAGTTTAAAATATTTGACAAAATTAACATTAAAACTGCAGTTCAAGTAAAACAAAACTTAAACCTTATAATAGTAATAACAAAATATATAGTATATGTATTATATATATATATATATATATATATATATATAAATATATATATATATATATATATATATATATATATATATATATACAAAAATATTTTTTTTTTTTGACTAAAAAAAATCTTTCATTTTTTAGCTTATAATAATCAAATATACACATCAACTCTAGGAATTAGGAAAAATGAGGTCGACAATAATTTGCTGACCTTAATCTTTTTGAGGTTGGCATCAGGTCGGTAAAAATTATTTGATACAAAGGTCTGACCATAAAACATTGAAATGATGTTAGCAATTTTTTGCTGACGTCAAACACTTTCAGGTAGGCAGTTAGGTCAACATTGCTAAATACCGACCCTAATTCCGAGTTTTTTTTTCAGAATGTCAAAAAAAGTAAAAATTGCTAAAAGGCCCATACTTTGGAGATGCAAACTCTGACATAAAACACCCCTGCCTTGGTTGAGTAAAGGCTGGAGATTGTATCTCGATAAAAATACTCATCTTGGGCAGATGTTACATGCATCCGGCTGCTGTCTTGTAGAAGGCCTCCTAGGCAAAGACTTAAAGGGTGAACAGATTCTATTTGTTGGCCAGCCTCGCACCCCTTCTTCATCTATTAGGCTGGCGCAGATGCATTTTTAATACATTGTTTCCAGTTTAGAATGTTGAACGCTGAATCTTCTTGACTCGATGCATGGGTTTCGCTTGTGTCTCTGTTTTTATGACTAGCAACTCATTCTATTATCTCCAAATGAGGGTACAGCACTAAAACTCAGTTTTATGGTTCTGAGGCCGGCTGGTAGTCAGGTTTCCCGAACTCTGTTGTAGCTCTCAGAGAGGCTGATTCCATCAACAGCTGAAAAATATCAGAGTACTAACAGTGCCATGTTGCGCATGGATGGTATCCCTGTTTGTACTTTTGGTGTGCATTGCCAATGCCACATTGGATCCCTTTGTTACGGCTTAGGGTTTATTAATAGAAATGAGACGATTGCTTGGGCTACAAAACAGTGTACTGAGTACTATCTATGTTTTGACTCAAGTTCTTTAACAAATTTAAAAATGAATAAAGTAACAAAAACTATAAAACACAAAAAACCACAGTCATCACCAAGTTCGCTAAACCTATTATTCACCAATATTCGTGGTCTTCGAAGTAACTTTTCTTCTGTTGAGTCTTATCTCTTGCAAAGTTCACCAGACCTACTTGCTCTTTGTGAGACTAATTTGAGTTCAGCTGTCTCATCTTGTGATCTTAGTGTGATCTATCTTCCTTTAATTTGTAAAGACTCCAATATTCACATGCTTGGCCTAGGCATTTACATTCGTAAGAATTCACCCATTTGTTGGGAAACTAGGTTTGAATCCACAGACTACTCTTTTATGTGCTTTCGTTTAGCACCACTTCACTCTATCACCTTTCTCTTTGTTCTATATCGCTCTCCTTCATCTCAAGACTGCACTCTTCTTGATGTTATTTCTGATTATATTGACCAAGCCCTCATTCTTTATCCATCAGCCAATATTGTTGTTGTCGGTCACTTCAATGTTCATCACACTGAATGGCTTGGCTCAAGTGTCAGTCTCTCTAAAACTATTATCTTATTCTTCTTTATCATCAGAATAGTCTTGCAGAAGTGTTCTCCGGAGCTGTCGTCTATCCTTTCAAAACTATTTAACAAGTGCTTATCAGAGACTTGTTTTCCAGCCTACTGGAAAGCAGCATCTGTTATCCCTATTTTTAAAAATTCTAGAGAGCGATCAAATTAGTCTAACTACCGTCCCATTAGTCTTCTTCCTATCATAAGCAAGGTTTTAGAATCTTTAATTAACAAACACTTAATCTCTCATCTCATAACCTACTTTCTGATCATCAATATGGATTTCAATCTTCTCGTTCTACAGCCGATTTGCTATTAGTAATAACCAATAGATTTTATCGTGCATTAGATAAAGGTGGAGAGGTTAAGGCCATTGCTCTTGACATTTCTAAAACGTTTGATAAAGTTTGGCATGCTGGTCTTCTCCATAAGCTTTCTTCTTACGGTGTATCTGGAAACATCTTTAAGTTTATTGAATCCTTTTTTTCCAATTGTAGTATAAAAGTTGTCCTTGATGGACAGCACTCTTCTTATTCTGTAAACTCAGGGGTTCCTCAAGGTTCAATCCTTGGCCCTATACTCTTTTTAATTTACATTAACGATTTTCCAGATATTCTCACATCTAAGGTGGCATTGTTCGCTGATGATACTATCATTTATTCTTGTCACGATAAGAAGCCAACTCCCTCTGATTGCTTGCAGGGGGCATTTGAGCTTGAAAAGGATCTCACTTCTGCTACAGCATGGGGCTCACAGTGGCTGGTGAACTTTAATTCAGATAAAACTCAATTTTTTTCAGCCAACCGTTACCGCAATAATTTAGACCTTCCTATATTTATGAATGGTAATGTACTCAATGAGTCATCTACCCTTCATCTTCTAGGATTAACTCTCACTTCTGATCTTTCTAAAGTTACATCTCTTTATAGAGCTCAACACTTTCTTACTCTGGATTCTATTCTCTATCTCTATAAATCTCAAATCCGACCTTGTATGGAATACTGTTGCCATATCTGGGGCGGATCTTCTAATGATGCTCTTTCTCTTTTAGACAGGGTGCAAAAACGCATTGTAAACATATTTGGACCTGCTCTTGCAGCCAACCTTCAACCTCTGTCACATAGTCATAATGTTGCTTCTCTTTCTCTTTTCTACAAATACTATAATGGGCACTGCTCTAAAGAGCTAGCATCTCTTGTGCCATCTACTAAAATTCATTCTTGTGTTACTCGTTATTCAATTAAGTCTCATCCTTTATCTGTTACTGTTCCTAAGTGCTCCAAAAACTCTTATTCGTCTAATTTTTTTCCTTGATCATCAGTTCTTTGGAATTCGCTTTCTTCATCTTGCTTTCCTGATTCATATAATTTGCAATCTTTTAAGTCATCTGTCAATGGTTATCTTGCTCTACAACCTTAATCTTTTCTCTTCCAGTAACTTCCAACACTAATTAGTGGTTGCTTGCAGCCTTGTTGGAAGCAAAGATGTTAATATATATATATATATATATATATATATATATATATATATATATATATATATATATATATATATATATATATTTATGTTGTTGTCAATCAAAGGTAGATTTTAACTCTTTTTAAAGTGGAGAAAGATCTTTCACCAAGAGCATTAGTAGCTCTTTATATATATTATAGTGGTATTTTATTAAAAAGTAGTTTGATGGCTTCTATACCATCCTTATGGGGTATGTTAGTGTACAGGGAGGTAACGTCAGCGGTGACGAAGATGTATTTTTGAGGCGGTAGTGGTTGATTTTGGAGCATGTGAAGAAATTGTGTGGAGTCTCTAAAGTACGATGGAAGTGTTTCGGCTAGTGGTTGTATGAACTTAGTGACAAAATATGAGAGGTGATCTGTGAGACCATCGCAAGCAGATACAATAGGTCGGAGAGGAATTCCAGTTTTGTGTATTTTGGGGAGTCCATAGAACAGGGGAGGGCGACAAGGATTGTTTGGACGTATGTAATTTGCAGTCTTTTCGTCAATCACTCCTTTGAATAAGATGTAATCAATTGTCGATACAACGTTCCGTGCCATTTCTATGGTGGGGTCGTATAGTAGGAGTTTATATGTGGTATCATCTGCTAGCATGGTGTTAATTTTCTCTTCATAGTCTCTCCTGTTTAAGATGCAGATGCTACCACCTTTGTCAGCTTGCTTGATAATGATATTGTTATTATTTTTCAGTGTTAAGATTGCTTCTTTCATGTTTTTCGTTAGGTTGGGGTGTGCTATGTTCATTCTCTCATTTAGTACTGTGTCTGTTTCACTCTTTATGCTTTCAAAGAAAAGATTTAAATTTGCATTGTTGGATGCAGGAGGGTTCCAAACCGTGTCAAGTTTCCTCTTCATTGGTGTTTGTCGGGGTAGTCCTGCATTGTCCTTAAAATGAACTCTCAGTAGCATATTTCTTTTTAATTTTGAACAAAAATAAATTAAGTTTAGCTTGCGTTCTTTACAAGACAGATCCATCTGCTTATCACTTTTACCATCCTTTAGGTGGTAGATTAGCCACTTTACTTACTTCCTTTTAATTTTTATTTATTTACTTTTTTTTTTTTCTTTCTATTACCTATTGTATATATGATCTCTGAATATTTAGTTTGACAATCACAAGAATTAGCTTGGCAATCTTTACAACTTTGGTAAGTTAAGTTCTTTTAGATTGATCTAAACTCTTGAAAAACAAGATAAGATCTTTTATATTGAATTGTTTGATGTCGTAACCTAATGATGTTGCAATGCTTGGTGGAAGAAGAATTTGTGTTTTAGCTAATGTCTTGACAGTGACTAACTGATTGCAGATGGTTTTCCCAACCTTCCCTTTTTATTGACTTAAGAAGAACCTCCTGAAGATTAATATATATCTTATCATCTGGTTGATAAAACCTCTGTTTTATAAAACTCATAATAAGACCGAAAACTTCAAAATCAAATTGCCGATAATGTTATTTTGGTGAATCATAGAAATGATAGGTTTTTTATGGGTTAAGAGTTGTTTTTAAATAATCTAGCATTTTCCTTTTTGTTGAAACTTTAGGGTCAGTGACACCAAGCTGGGTTTTCCATTTCATAGCACGTTCCCAAAGTAGTTCGTAAATTTCGCTGCTTCGGGATTTTTAAAAATATAAATATAAAAATTCTTTGACTAAAACCACACCATGATTAGTTAAAAGGCAACTATCTTTTATATTAGCTTTTATTTTATTAGACACTTTTGGGATTTCAAATATTAACTTTACAAATAAAAAAATTAAAAAAACTGCATGCGTTACAAACCCATTTTTCTTGATGAACAGTTATTTCTGCAGATCGTGTGAAAATTAATAATTTCTTAATGTCAGCTATTATGGTACTAGTATGATTGTTACAGAACATCATTATGTTTCGCACGTTAGGAGCATTTTTTGCAATAAAATTTAGTACAAAAATAATGCGACCAAACGTTGTCACCATTCAATAACCACTATAACTTTAAAGCGAAGACATGAAAGTATAAATTCGGTAGATGAATTAAATTTTAAAGGAAATAAAAGATATGGAATGTACTGAAATATGTTTTTTCATATATGAAAATATATCTGTTAAAAATATTTTACATATATCTTTTCCCCTAATAATTTAATTTAAAATATTTTAGGGGTGGGTGGGGGGTGGGTAAGACCCCCTGGCCCCTCCCCTCCTCCCCGGTGGTTACAGCTCTGTATATGTATGTGAGTTGTGAAACAACCAGGCCAATTAAAATTTCTGCATTAAAATTTCTGTATGTAACAAAAAACACAATTGTATGACCATGTACGGCAATGCCTACTTTATAAATTTGCCTGTTTAAATGGCTTGACCATGTCATCGAAGAAGTTAAGAAGTAATTAGACTACATAAGCCACACCTGAAAGCGCTAGTGACTAGGGCTAGAAACAATTGCCAAAACCAACTCCAAAATGTTAACTTATAACCTTTAATGCGCTGCTTTTGGTTTAATGGAACAAAGTTTTCTTTCTTTATGAAAATGTCTGATCTTACATTACGGTCTTTGCAAATTGACACAGCAAAAACTATTGGAGCTTAGCTGGGAAATACTACCTCATTCTAGTTAAAGTCTACTAGTTTAACTAGTTTAAAATCTACTAGGTCGTAAACAATAATGGTGCATATATTTTTAAAGATTAATTATGAGATTGAAGATGAATGATTGATGAAGGGTGCTTGCTCCTTTTGAGCCAATAAGAGCAATAAAACAAAAACACACATTAAAAAAAGTAATATCAATAAGTTTATTAATCTTGAATGTGTACAAAATTCTGCTACCAAATTTACTTCTGTACATAGCTATAAAAACAAAATTCTTAAAGAAATAAAAAACATAAATTTGAAGGGTTCACTTGTTTATTTGAAGTATTATTTTTATTATTTGTTTATTAAATATTAATATTTAACCAAATTTCAATAACCTTTACATAATAGTTATTTTACTCATCTTTTTCTTCTGTACTTATAACAAAATATTTTATATTAGAATAATAAATTAGATTTATATTAGAATATATTAGAATTAAAATTATATTAAAATAGCCTTTCAGCTTTTAAAACTACTGCTCAAACTTTTGGTATTCTTTCCACTTATTTCTTTAATTTAAATGATGAAATTTTACTTTAATACAATCGCATATATTTGTTGTTTCTGATTGAATGGTTGCATTTATTAGACATTTCTGTTTAGCTAATCCTATAAAAACTCAATCAGAATAAAATCCAATGACTCAGAGGGCTAATCCATGTATGTTAATACTTTTATATGTTCTTTTGCAAAAATATAATATTTAAACAACTTTCATGTGTGTTTAGGGTCACTGTCTTGCTGAAAAATAAATTGATTGCCTACAATTCTTTTTTCATACAGGAGCATGTGTGCTAAAGAAAGCTGTGATAACAAGTCTTATCATGATTTATCTGTATATAAGACCTTACAACAACTGTATATAAGACCTTGTAATAACTGTATATAAGACCTTACAATAACTGTATATAAGACCTTACAATAACTGTATATAAGACCTTACAATAACTGTATATAAGACCTTGTAATAACTGTATATAAGACCTTACAATAACTGTATATAAGACCTTACAATAACTGTATATAAGACCTTACAATAACTGTATATAAGACCTTACAATAACTGTATATAAGACCTTACAATATTTATCTGTAAACCTCGGATTAAATGTTTTTATTTTGATACATTTTGATAAATTTTAATGTTGTGATTGTATTACTTAATGAATATATAAAATATATAATGTAATAAATATATAAAATATATAATATAAAAAATAAACATTGTATTTGATCAAAATTTTTTTACCACTAGTGTGTATATTTCTATATATCTTTAGTGCAGTTATTATATTTTTATTAAAATTTAATTATGGTTGTTTTTAATAAGTCAATTAAAAATAAAAAAGCTAAATTTAATTTTATGGCATGTAATATGCACAAGCATCAACATTAAAATATCATTGATATTAAAATAAAACCTGTCCGTTAAAGTTGGTTGGTATTCCACCCATATTGTAATGGCAAGTTGGAAGAACAGGTATAGGATCACGAGTTACATCAACACCAGCAAATATCATGGCTGTCTCAGAAATTCCAGGAAGACGAGATTTAAGTATCTCTTGGGGAAGATGAGACAATTGTAAATATACATGATCTTTTTCAGGTCCACATCCACTACAGAAAAAAATAAAATAAAAAAAGAAATCTACGTTTATATAAAAATATCAAAATTAAAAATTTTCATACCGCCCTTCTCTCATCTCAATTGTCATCGATCGAGAAACAACATCTCTTGAGGCAAGATCCTTTGCAGTAGGAGCATATCTTTCCATAAAGCGTTCACCCTTAAAAATTATATTTAGCTATTGAAAAAAGTATTTTTTGTAAAACCTTGGAAAATATAACTTGCCATTTAGACAAATATTTCTGCTAATTTTCACCCTTATAATATATTTTGCAGATGGAGCATATAAAACATTCAATAGAATATTCACATTTTAAAAAATATATTTTTTTACTAGGAGTTTTTCATATTTTCATAAAATATTTACTAATATACTTTGCTTGCACTTATAACTGATTTTATAACTTAGGCTTATACTATAGAAAAAAAATCATCAAAGCAAAAAAGCATAATCATTCATAATTAATCATCATTATTCATAATTAATCATCCTTACTCATAATAAATCATCATTATTGATAAAACCTTAACAACAAAAATATAACATAAAACATAAACAATGGTGGTTAAAATAATGCCAGTGGTAATCAAGGTAAACTAAATAATCAGGCTTGGTCAGGAAGGCATGCGATTTCACGGCCTTATATGACCACGCAAATAATATTTTGTTTGACAATTTGACCACAGTTTTAATATTTAAAGCATTGAAAACTTAAATTAGTTATAAAGAAACTAAAAAAACAAACTTATTTTAAAAAAAAAAAAAAAAAAAACCTTAAAAAAATAATGAAAAATAAAATAGCACAGTAATAAATAAATAAAACAAAAATAAAAAAAATAAAAACAAAACTCAACTAAAATAAATAATAAACAATAAGATAATTAAGTTAATAATTAATAAGTTTGAAAGAAATAACTTTGAATCTTCAATTAATGTCTTCATACTGTAAAACTAGTAGTGTCCCATCTGTCTTGTTAATGCACCGTATAATATTATATTAATAGTAAAAAAATAAAAATAAAATAGTACTAATCGACAAAAAAATGTAAATAAACACTTTTGTTTTTATAAAAAACGTTATCGCGCATTAGTGGTATTAAAAAAAAAAAAACGATTAAACCTAACGAGGAAACTTTTTTTAATAAAGCATATTTTTTTCAAGGGGGTAGGCGGGTGGATGGTGTGGGGGAAACGGAAATGCGTTTGACAAAAATAACGACTGACTTACGAACAAAAGTAACTTGTTTTTTCTTTACTATATAGACTAAGCGAAACTCTTTTAAATAAAGTAATGACTTCCAACAATTTTTTAATTAATGCTCATATATAAAAGATAAAAAACAAAAAAACAATAAAAAAACTTTACAATTCTTTGTAATAATGTAAACAAAAGAAAAATAATTAAATTGTTTCTTTTGCCGGAAATCCAATATCAGAAAGCAAATGTGAAAAAACGAAGATGAAAACGAAAAATAATGAACTATTCTTTAATTGATAATTTAACTTAATTTGTTAATAATTTAATTTGTTAACTTTAACTGATAATTTTTTTATTTAAAGATTAAAGAAAAAAAATTATAAAATGTTTTATATTTATATTTTTTTTAAATTTACATTCTCAAAAAAAAAAATTGTTATATTTTGAGTATATTAACTTTAATCAATAATTTTTTAATTTAAAGACAAAAGAAAAATACAATAATACTTTAATACAAAAAAATCATTAGCAGTGAATTGTTACTTTATCTAAAATCGTTTTAATAATATAAAAACATTAGTAAAGATCAAAGTTATTTAATTCAAACGGCTGTCTTTAATTCAAAAGTTTGTCTTTTTTTCTTCTTAAAAAAATCTTTTTGAGTGTATTAACTTTAAGGGATCCTCCATAAATTATGCAATGCTAAATTTATTTAAAAAACAGAAGTAGGAGATCTTAAGCGGCAATTTTTAATATATTTAATGCGTTGTTTTGATTTATTATTTATCAAAAGGCTCTGCGAGGGAAAACTTTAAACCTTTTTTGTTTTACTTATTAGTGAAATTTAGCGTTGCGTAATTTATGGATGATCCCTAATATTTCTTAAATAAAGTATATTAAAGAGACAATTGTTGTTTAAAGTCGTTGCTTATAAACTAAAATTAATTAAAAAATAAATAAGATTAATAAAAAAATCTTATATATTATTTTTATATAATCTTATATATATTTAAATAATATAAATAAAAATTTATACAACTTTCATGTATACTTCAAATTAAAACGTTTACAGTAATTGTTACTTTATTTAAAAGCATTTCGCTATTATGAACACGTTAGTAAAGAAAAAAGTTTCAAAGTTATTTTTGACGTAATTAAAAATAATTTTTTTCAGCACATTTTTAAAATGTTAAAAACCATGGTCAAATCATCAAAATAAAGTATTATTAACGTGGTCATATAATGACATGCGATCACACGCCTTCCTGACCAAGCCGGCTAGATAATGTAACTTGACTAATAAAAGTAATTAACTTAAAAATAATTGTGGCTATAAAAAAACAGAACCATGTGTAAAATATACCTCGCTATTAATCAAGTAGCCTCCTTCTCCTCTACAACCTTCTGTGATGAGACAACCAGCTCCATAAATACCTAAGTTTAAAAGCTTTAAAATTTAGCAAATGAAAATATTTAGAAGTTCTTTGGCGAATCGTAAGTTTATTGTTTTATTTACAAATGATTTAATCAAATTAAATAAAACAGTATACATTTTAAACAGAACATTTGAGTCGTCAGATTCTCTAAAGATATTTTTTTTAAACATGTATTTTATAATAGTGTTGTGCCTATAAATTATTGTAGTTGATGCCAAAAAAATTCCATAAATAAGGAATTACTTTAAATAGGCCAAGTAAATATTGCTATGCACTGACTTTAATTCTCTCTCTTTTTTTTTTCTTTTTTCTATTTTTACAACCAGTTAAATGCTGTTATAATCAAACTTTAATGTGTATAAATTTCAAAAACAAAAGTATTCATTAAGTTTAAAACTGTCCTAGCAATATTTTTAATATTTAAGTGATTTCTACAAATATAACTATAACAATAACAATAATAATAATAATAATAATAATAATAATAATAATAATAATAATACTAATAATAATAATAATAATAATAATAATAATAATAATAATAATAATAACATTAATAATAATAAATATAAAACTAATCACTTGCCAGGAAAATCTTCCAACTTTACAAAAAAGATTAAGATTTCCTCTTAATAACAAGCCAGTCTTAAAGATTTTTTAGTTAATGTCAAACATTGAAAAACCCTCTTGTCTGTAATCTCATATATATCTGGTCTTGCAATAATATATGTCCTTATAACATAGAATATATTAAAAAATCATATATTTTTTGTTGCATCAGATATATAATCAGTGAATGATAATTAAGCTAAATATACAATGAATTATTGAATTTACCAGTAGGATGAAACTGAATGAACTCTAAATCTTCATTTGCAAGACCAGCTCTTGTAACCATAGCAGTGCCATCTCCTGTGCATGTATGGGCTGAAGTACATGAGAAATACGTTCTTCCAGAACCACTGAAAAATGAATTTAATAAAATTTTAGTGTATGGAAGTTTATTTTTTGTACTTATTGTTTACATGTTTATTTTTTGTACTTATTCATTATATGTTGAGGTCTTTTTTTCTACACATTTTTGTGTTACTGTTTACAATAAAACTTTTAATAAACTATTTTGAACATTAAAAATAAGTAGTTATTTAAATTCTCAAAAATACAAGATTAAAAAGGAAACAATTTAAAGTACATAATTGTATTTTTATTTACTATAAAAATATAAAATATATAAAACCCACAAGAAAGGTAAAACTGTTAATACTGTTTTTTTGCTGAGTTAAACCCATACAATTTTTTCAGGAAACAAAAAAAACAACAAAAAAAAAAACAAAAAATAATGAAAAAATGTTTACATAAATACTAAAAAATCAATAAATAGGTAAAATACACCTAAGTTTACCACTAGTTTGTGATAAACTTCTATCAAAGCCCAATGATGATTAAACAAAATGACAACTACTTACCTTTATGAAAAATTTGACATCAATATTGCTGTTGCTAACAAAAAAACTAATTTTACTATGGAGTGATTGCTTTTAATTCTACAGTAGCAGTGTAGTGGCAGAATGCTCACTTCATAAGCAAAAATTTTTTTGATTTTCATCGATGGTTGTACAACAATTGAAAAAAATAAAAATCTATATTTGGAAAATTTCATACATTCTTTTGTAAAATGTCAGATTAAAAGTGTCAAACAGAGATTTTTTTTTTAACTTTGAGAAAAAGTGAAGTTGATAGGGCATATAAATCTTCTATAGGCTTTTGATTTGATCTATATAAAATCTTGATGTGGAGTCCTAAAAGATTTTTCTTAACATCCATATGATGTAAAACTTAAGTTGAACTAAACAACACAGATGCAAGCCTTGTTTTAAAGCATTATGAGTAGACTGATTTTACACAAGCAGAAAGCGATTATTGTTAAGCAAATTTTTATAATTTTTCAACTTTTAAATTATTCTAAAAGCGGTAAGATAAAAGATGTAATTAAAATTTAAAAAAAGCAACATAAATCTACTTCTACTCTAGATAACATTGAGCAACGATTCTATAATTACTTTCTTAAAAACTTCATGGAAAAACTCAGCATAAAATTATCAAACTATTAGAGTATTTTCAAACTTAGCATAGTTCAATATGTTGAATGCAATTTTCTTAGCAAGACTTAAAAGTAACATTGATATATCATGTGCATGCTAAATTATATAATAGAATTTAACACATCGAAAGTCAATGCTATGCCTGTTTGATTTTTTTATAGATAAAATGTTTCAAATGTTAAAAAACGTCAGTGTCGCAACTATTTTTAATGCCACTTTGAATTCTTAAAATTAAAAAGCTTACAACTTCTCTTTTGAACATATATGTTTTATGACATCAAATTCACATAAGGCTATTGTGTTAAGCATATAGAACATAGAAACCCATCAGTCAATATCTGTGTATTTGCCCATGCTTATTCCTATGCTTACCGAGGGTTTGGATTTAAGCAAGAAATCTCAACACAAGGAGAATTTTTTTTTTTTAATTAGACAAAAATTTTAAAAAGATGTAGGAGCTTTTGAAATTTTTAAAACTTTGCAAAATTTAAATTTAAAAATACTTTGATATTACTTAACATTTTTTTGTAGGAGATTATGATTTTGTTGGACAATATTTAAAATTTCAAAACACAGCAACATACTAGTTAACAGTAGATGGCATGCTGTAGTGAGTTTATTTTGAATATTTTTGCTTTAAACTTATCTATAGATCATTTATAAATGCACAGGTAGTGTCCACTAATGTACTTTATTAAACCCAAATTGTTGAATAAGGTCTCCTCTGCTTCTATTTAAAATTAGTTTAACAAAACCAAAACAAAAAAAATAACTTCTTTATGTTTTACTGGTTTTTATGTCATTTTTTCATTCACTCACTTCTTTGCAAATATTGAAACCATGTTATGAAATATTCCAACCTGATTAGCTAGTAGAATAATAAACATCAGAATTCTACCTTAAACCCAAAGTCTGTCTTAAATCCAAAGTCTACCTTAAACCTAAAGTCTACCTTAAACCCAACCTTTTATCAAGTTTTTATCTTTGTAAATAATTCAATGTGGCAGGTAATTTTCAAAGGCATTACAAGAAGTTGAAATTAGAACCATTTGTTTTTTGTTTGTTGGGGCCAGTTGCTTTGGATTTTTTAAGCCTTTTCAGCAAATAAACTCTTCCTTGATGGAATCAATCACAGTTGAAGACTTATTAGCATATTATGTTCTCAATAAACTAAATCAACTAGGGTAAACCATTTATCAATTATTGCCGGATGCAAAGCCACCACTATTAGGCTATGAAAGCTAGTAGCCTTTCTTTCACAAATTTTTCCCTATATCTTCTCATGAAATCATAGTGAAATTCTCATATATCTCATGAAATAAACTACTTTTAAGCTAGTTTACCGGCCTTGAACAAATAAGTTTGGTTAGACTTCCTCAAATACTTATCAACAGCAGTTAAAATATCACTTCTTTTCAAGAAATTAAGACAACTTCGTTTGAATAAATTAAATGTAGTCATTTTTTTTTTTTGGTTCATGCAGTTAAAATTCTATTGTTCTAAATTTTTGCTAATTATGTCACAATGGAATTTGGAAAACATTTAAATTATGAAAATGTGTTATTTTCTAATTATATGACAATATACTAATAATTTTTTTTTCAGATTATTACTATAAAATTCAGCATTCAATAGCATTCAGTTTTTTTTGATTTTTTCATTTGAGTCAGTTTTATGGTTTTTTAAGCTTAAAAAAAATTTATGTTTTCAATATATATTTTCTAATTTTTTTTTCCCATATTATTTTCTTATTTTTTTAATTTTTTTTTTATTTGAATTTATAAACTCAAATTAAAAAATTAATTTTTTTAATCAGTTTTCGTTTAAACAATTCTATAAAATTAAATGAGACTAAAATTAAAAAAACAAAACCATTTGGTATTCAGGGCTGTTTGGAAATAGGCTAATCTACGGTATATAAAGTAATTAAGAAAAAAAAAAATTAAAAACATGGCTATACAATAACATGGTTGATTCAATGTTGTTTTTTTTAAATTATAAAAAATATAATATAACATTTTAAAGCATAATAATTATGAAAATATACAAAAAAAGTACATAATTCTAAAAAAAAAAAATGTAATAATAAAAAAATTAAAAAAAAATCAGCACATGAAATATTTTCTTTTTTTTAACATACATTATAAATAAAATTTAAATATCTTAACTAATGCGAAACAAATAACTTTTTTGGGGTCCAAAACCTCAGAGACGTGTTAAATTCATATTAAAGAGAATGATTAAATAAAAAATAATAATAATAATGACAAAAGAACAAATGCATACCAAGAAAAACTAATTTTTTAAATTTTAATCGAAGGTGTCTTTCTCCACTTTGTTGTAGGCTAAAAAGTCTTTATAATATACGCTGCAGTCATTGGTTTTTTTGTTGGTTTAAAAGATTATGTGAACAAATAAAAAAATCATTGAGGTCATAAGACTCTTAGGAATAAAACAAACTTGAATAAATTTTTAAGTCTGTAGATTTTGGCGTATATTATAAAAACTTTTTGGCCTACAACAAAATGGAGTTTTTTTAATAACAAGAATTATAACTAAACAATACACACATAAAAAAATAAAACTAAAAGGTAAAATTTACCCGGTTGCAAGGACGGTATTTTTTGCTTTAATCCTATGCAAAGATCCATCTTCAAGATTTAATGCAATTATCCCAACACATTTTCCTTTATCCATCAACAAATCCAATGCAAAGTATTCTATAAAGTAGTTACAATCGTATCGCAATGACTAAAAAAAAAAAATCAACTTAATTATAATTTTGTTATAAAAACTATTTTATAATTTTTTAATGTTATACTGTGTATATATACTGTATACATTTACTGTATATTGAGAAACAAAATTTCCACATTAGTATATAAAGTGGTTATTAGTATATAAAGTGGTTTCCACATTAGTATATAAAGTGTTATAAAGTGGTTATCTATGAACTTAATATAATGTAGGGCATATTGTAAAAACATGAGCTCAAATTTTAATCAGCTTAACATTAATATTACTTTAGCTGTATATGCGCTAGTGGTATAGTGCTCGCTTTATTAAGGAGAGGTTCAGAGTTTGATTATATTAGAAACTAGTTGAGCCCAGTACCACCACATCCCTGGTAGTACTGGGCTCAACTAGTTTCTCAGCGCAGCGGTCTTGTTTGTCAAGGTTTGTGTTTCAGAGATATAGAGTTGAGAGAGGGTTATAACCACAAGTAGGCTTCTCAACTGTAGCGGCCTTTTCAGCCTTGAGGAGGTGAATTACAAAAAAAACTATAAAATAAAAGTATAAAATTTTTATGTTTTGTTTTGCCATACTAACATCAGGCCTTGTTTTAAATAAAAAATGCTTAACACAATAGCCTAATGTAAATTTGATGTCATAAAACTTTCTTAATTCTTTTATTTTTTAAAGACATTAAATTTTTAAAATTACTGCAATAATGTTAATTCATACAAAACAAGTCATTATTTAACTTCTTTTTTATTATTACTATAAGGGAATGTTTATTTTATTATTATTTTTTTAATATTAAATAATTAAATTTAAATTTCACATTTTAAAAAATGTTTGATATTAACAAATTTTTTTCTTCTTTTGACATTTGCATAAATAAATTAAAATATGTTAACATTTTGAATTTTTAAATGATTATTTCTTAAGTTTCTAATTGTGGCATTGCAACTACAAATGATTTTTTATTCTAAAAAAAAATTATTGAGTAAAAAAATTTAAAAAATTACGTTCATTTATTTACTTTATTTATTAAAGATTTATTAGTTTATTAACAATTTTGTTGTGAAAGCAAAGATTCTTTTACCAAACATCGTTCTTTCAACAAACTATATCACTGTATATATTGTTTATTAAAAAACTTTTTGATGCAGCCGTTTATATAAAGTTTAAAATTTAATTTTGAGCAAAAAAAAAATCTTTAGAAAAGAAAACTGAAAAAACAATTGCATTAAAAAAGGGGCTAACTTTTTTTTAAGAACAAATAAAATTCAAATATGGAACAATATTTAGTAATATTTTAAAATAAACTTAACAGTTAAGTTAAACCCAAGCATTACCTTATAATAAAATCAAATATATTTTTTAAATCAAAGTTAAATTATATATTTTTAAAATCTAAATAATATTAAAAAGTAAACTGCTCTACATGTAACATTTTAAAACAAGGCCTATAACCTGTCTCTTTGTTTTATCTTTCCTATGCTTTTAATACTAGTTTTAATACTTAAAAAAACATTTAAACAGTCTTGGTCAGAGGAGACAATATTTAATATTAGGCTTTACACTTCAGTCACTACAATAATTATAATACAGTTTTTAACAGTCACTACAATTTACACTACAGTCACTACAATAATAATATAATAGTAAAGTTATAATAATTTAACTACAATAATAATACAATAATACAGTTATAAGTTAATTTTACTATAATTATTGTCACTACAATAATTATAATAAAGAAAAATACAATGATAGAATCAATAAAAAAACTATATATAACAATAAAAAAATTTAATATATATGGTTTACTGAAAAATTAAATCTTAAACAGCAGGTATCAGAGGCTACTACTACTACTACTACTACTACTACTACTACTACTACTACTACTACTACTACTACTACTACTACTACTACTACTACTACTACTACTACTACTCAGGCTTGGTCGGGAAGCGGGAGCGATCGCACTCGAATACTGACCACGGAAATTATATTTAGTTGCGTAAAACTGGCCAGGTTTTTTAGTCGTTTCGAGAACATTTAAGTTAATGTACGAAACAAAGAATTTTTGTTTTACGGACATACATGGAAACATAACAAACTTGAATGTTCTCAAAACATCTTTGTGCGAAAGAATAAAAAGAATATTTGTGAACACTAAAAACCCGCCAAATTAACAAACAAACTAATACTATTGGTTCACAAAATACGCTGATTAAGCGAAATAAAGTTCTAGAGTATTCTGTTAAAATGTTTTAGAAATTGTATTATTCACGATTTGTTACGTTTTGAGATTTGTAGAATTGTTTTAGGAATATATATTATTTGTTTACAAAAATAAATGTTTTAAATATATATTAATTAAATTGTTAAAATTTAAAAAATTATTATAAATCATAGATTTTATTAGTATATTCTTATTTTTTATTTTAAAAGAGATTGAATTCTTTATGTAAATGTAATTTTGTGTATTTGTTTTTTATCTTAATGTATCTTTTAAAGCAATTTTTATGATATAAACAAAGTCTTACAAAAATAATTGCGTTTTTAATGAAGTTATAATCGTTAAAGTTAATTATATAAAATCGTTAAAGTTAATTAAAAACTAATTATGTAACAAACATATAAGAAGTTTCTGGTTACTAAACACAAACAACGCATACAAAGTAACTCGCGGATGAACAAGCATCGCGCCTGAGGTCACGACAGAACACAAATATATAATAGCAAATATTTAGATATAAAGAAAAGTTTCTAGATATTGGTTTACTAACTTTAATTATTTTCGCTTAAGTTGCCATTCTTAAAACTCCTTATACTTTTTTCTGCTTTAAATACTAATTAAAATTAAAAAGCCCACTTACTAAACATCATTAGCGATACTGTGAAGCAGTTTCGCTTCCTCGTCATAAAGTATTTTTAACCTTTAGTTGATTTCTATCTTGATAATTTAATTCCTATAATAATTCTATGATTTAATTTTTTCATTTGTTTTTCTTACTTCTTACTAAGAAGAATCGCTTTAAATATGTTTAACTTTTCAAACTACGCGAAACATAAAATAGGTATTAAAAAAATTAACTTTTTTATTTATAAAATAAATTAAGCTTAAGTAAAACTAAAACTTTCAAATTTAGTTAAATAAAGAATATTTGTTTCTCTTTTAAACAATCGTAAGTTGTTAATTTATATAAAAAACATCGCTTAATTTTATAAAAAAAATTATAAAAAACCGATGTTTAGAAAATATTTGTTCTAAATGTAATTTATTTAGCTTAAGGTTTTTTCGCGTTTAAAGATATTTTATTTGCCTACATTTTTTTTTGTAATTGTCTCTCATCGGTCCAATTTATTTGCGTCGCTTTTTTTTTTTGCTTTTTAAAATGTTCACAAAACGACTAAAAAATCTGGCCAGCTTTTCGCAACTAAATATTATTTACGTGGTCAGCAATCGAGGGCGATCGCTCCCGCTTCCCGACCAAGCCTGACTACTACTACTATTACTACAACTACTACTACTATAATATTAAGTTCAGCATTAAATGATGCCATGGCTTTTAGTATGTGCTACAAATATAACACATATAACACCTTGTTTTGATAACTTGACCCTATCCTGTTGTAACCATTAAAAGTAACTTGTTACTTAATTCAAAAGCACTTTGCTTAATATAAAAAGATTTCAATAAAAAAAATTAAGGTTTCAAATTTATTTCACAGCAATATTCTTAAAACATTTAAAAAGCTGTGATCAATTTGCTGAAAAATTTATATACATTGACAGAAACAGCATATCAATGTCAGGAACAGCGTTCCTTTTCCTGACTGAGATTATAAACTGCTGGAAATTGTGTTTTTATATACATTAAAACAAAACAAAACAAAAAAAGCAAACTCATTGTTTATACATTGCAAACCCTTTGTTAATACATTGTAAACTCATTGTAAATACATTGTAAACTCATTGTTTATACATTACAAACTAATTGTTAATAGATTGTAAACTCATTGTTTATACATTGCAAACTGATTGTTAATACATTGTAAACTCATTGTTTATATTATTACCTCATTCTGAAACTGCTTGGAATAAAACTGTGTCTTGACATGAGATTAAACGCAAACAATGTGCCTTACAAGAGATTAAAAAAACCCAAAAAATTAGAATTTTTTTCTACATCCAATATCAATACTTATTTTATTGATGTTGCTCACAAATTGCTACATAGCTCACAATCAAAAAATAATTTTCTCAATAATTTGACTAAACTGGATAGGTGTCATAAGTCACTATAAATGAAAGACACATGTGGCTTCAATAACTACATTACTTAAGTGGTACTTAAACACTATCCCACTAAGTTTAAACTAAACCGGTATTTGTTTAATGTCACACACAATGTGCATTAAATTTGCTTGTCAGGTAGTGTTAGTATAGAAAAAAAATCTAATAACTAGTGTAGAATGTTTACAATGAAACAAATTACTCCTCACTACTGGCTATAATTGTTAGTCTTTTTATGTTTAATATTAAATTGCTTAAAGGGATCCCCAACTGCCGAGACAAGTTGTGTTCATATTAAAGAAAATGTTTAAAAAAAACATTTGGGCTAAATTTTTTTGATTAAAACTTTATAATGAATGCACACCATTAAATTTAAAAATCACATTTTAGTCGAGGCTTGCCATTTCCAATTTTTTTTGGTTCTCAGAGTCTGTATAATGTTAGCCACAATCTGCAGACTTGATAATTTATTCCATGCATGTTAATTTATAACAGTTTCGGTATATGACGTTGTATAAATTTTTTCTTTCAAAATGTCATATTATTATTTTGCCAAAATCACCAAACCATGTTAATTGTATAACTTTTTACTAAATCCAAAAAAAAGTTTATGATATAATTAAAAATTAAATTCATAAAAATAAAAATTTAATATTTAACAAATATTTACAGTAAAAGGTACTGGTTTAAACTAAATATAAAATAGATACTAAAAGAATAATTTTACTAAAGCGTATAAATTAATTTAAAGTGTAAACTGAAAAAAAAAAGAGTGACTTGAATAAAACATATAAACTGAACTAAGTAGAAAATAAATATTAAACGACTTATTTTACTAATAACTGTTCAAATCAAACTAAATTAAAGTTAAAACAAATATTTGTACTAAAATATACAAGAAATAGTTATAATATAAATATAAAAACAAAGAATCGCATTAAATTGTTCGCTACCAGCCAAACAAAAATCTTTTAACAAAAATCTTTTTGTAGCAACCGCAAATATTATTTTTGAATAACGTTTGAATAGCATAAGCATTGACAATTAATTAAAATTCAATAATAATAAAGTTTTTAACACGCTTCATTATACAATAAGAAATGCAAAATACTTAAAACAATCGTTTTTGTAAGTAATAGCTAAAACATTAGGTCTACAACAAACCTTATTTAATGAATAAAAATAATATTTTTTCTTCAAAATACTTTGGTAATTACTTAACCACTCTTGAGTTCCTAATAAACGTCCCTCCCCCTCCTTATATTAATTTTTACTTGTTGTTGACCTATTAAATCTCGATTTGCTAAAAATGAACTTTTAGTTTATTTCTCAACAAAGCTTTGGTTTTAATTATAGGATTTAATATGCTGAATATAAGTTTTATACTTTGCAAAGTATAAAACTTATATCAGCATATTAAATCCTATTGAAATTATAATAAAACAGCCTAACCCTACCCTAACAGCTGTTAGAAAATGCGCTTTTGACCGCAAGTCAAATGCGCATTTGACTTGAACATGCATAATTTGCATGCCGAATAAGCGTGTGTGTGTGTGTGTGTGTGTAAACGGGTATGTGGGAATTTTGACTAAAATTCCTACCCACCCGTTTATTCCTACCCCCCCATTGTATTCGGCACACTAGAGTAAATACTTAACACTTCTACAAGTTAATTTTACAGTGTTAACTCTGTTTTATTTTATAACTAAATTTAAAGTTTTTTTTATGAAGGATTATTCAAGATTTTTTAACTTTATAATATTATTTTTATAATTACACTGTTATAGCTCTTATTTTTTCTTGATTATGTAAAGAATTAATTAAACTTTCAGAACAAACAAATTCTATGTGTCTAGAATAGAAATTTATGTACTAAACAAGATAAATTGTAAAGCATACTCGAAAGCCGCTACCAGTGGCTTGCGGTAGTGTAAGAGTTAAACCATAACTAAATGTAAATTAAACATAAAACGAACAACTCTATTGAACCATAAAAACTAAATATAAAACGAAAAACCGCATCATAGTGCCTTTAATTTTTCTCTGTCTGCGAACTCTAATAATCACAAAATATGTATAATTGTGTCATGATTTTGGCTGGCTTCTACAGCATAAATAAGTAATAAACGTAAAACAATAAACAAGTAAAATATATATATATATATATATACATATATATTTGTATAATTTTTTACTAAATCAAAACATTTTTTGTGATTTAGTAAAAAATTATTCAAATATTTGATTTGAAAAAAACGCTATCTTAAAAAGATATTGCCATAAATTATCAAGCCTGCAAATTGCGGCTAACATTATACAGACCCCGAGAACCAAAAAAAAAAAAAAATGCAGAAGGCGAGCTTCGACTAAAACGCTAATTTTAATTTTGTTGGCATAAATTCATTATTTAGATTCAATCAAAAAAATTCAGCCCGTAAAATTTTTTTAAAAAATTTTTTTTAATATGAACACAACTTGTCTCGGCAGTTGGGGATCCCTTTAAGAAATGTTTGGTACAGAAATTCTTTAAAAAAGGAAAGATATTCTATAATATATCTTGACAAATAATGAAAGAATAAAAATTGCATGTTATATAGATTTAACAAGATATATTAAAAAGATGGCATATCTCAACATTCACTAAGTTGGGCCAAAAGAAATATGGTCCAATTTAAAAATAAAGACAAAACATTGAGAAAAATCAATTATATTTTTTGTAATGAGTTTTTAAAAACACCAAAACAAAGTTTTAAAATAAATGAACTTTTTTTTTCTTTCTAAATAAATTCATTTGTAAGTGCAAATTTAAATATGTTTTCATGGAAAGTTATCTATTATTTTGCCACACTTGGAATAACAAGGAATAACAAAATGATTTTTTTTTTATACAAAAATTAAGGAATCAAAATATTTATTTAAAAAATCAACCATTTAGTAACATTGTTACACATTTTTTTAACAGTTGAATTTTTTATGCAAAACCCTATTTTTGTATTTATAACCATTACCTTATTATACAACTTTTAGAAAATGTAGCTAGAAAGTATTGGGAAAAAGCTTTTTAAAATTTTTATATTATTTTAATATGAAAATAAAATGTACCTGTCCATAAAGAGTATGAAGTAGTGAATGACCAGTTCGATCAGCAACAGCACAACATCTATGCGCTTGGCCATTTTTACCATAGTTAAGACTCTGGCCGCCAAAAGCACGTTGATAAATTCTTCCTTCTTCTGTTCTGCTGAAAGGCATTCCATAATTTTCAAGCTCATAAACAGCTGCAGGTGCTTCTCTAGTCATGTAGTGAATTGCATCTTGATCACCCAACCAATCTGAGCCTTTCACTGTGTCATACATATGCCACCTCCAATCATCTTTTTCCATATTTCCTAGTGCAGCATTAATACCACCCTAAATATTTAATAGTAATTTATTATAACTACAGAACTTAATCATATCAGTCAGTTGAGTTGTTTGAAAGCAACAACTTTATAATCAATATCAGCTATCTAAATATGAACCAATAAACCCTTTTTTAATAATATACTGGGATATATATATATATATATATATATATATATATATATATATATATATATATATATATATATATATATAAATATACCCTTATCTCTTTTCAAGCCCCTCTTATCCCCTCAGCATTGAAACATTTATCCAGAGGTTTTAAGTCACATAACTTTAAAAATATTTTATTTTTTTACTTAAAAACTTGTACCTGGCTATTTTCAGACCAATACACCAGGAGGGAGAAGGAAGGGAACATAGGATTATGTACTTGTTTGTAGTGGAATATTGCAATAGATTTTTCACTACTTTCCAGACAAACTAGAACTCTGATAATTTCAGCATTCGTGTAGTCCTGATTTGTTTTGATTTTAATAAAGTAAAAATAACTTTGAAAATGTTGTATATAATAATTTTCATTTATCATAAAAATCCAATGAAACGAATTACATTTACACAGAATAAATTACATTTTAATGTATCCATATTAGTTAACTGATTAGTTTTGGAACTTTAAATACCATAAAATAAAAAAAATGTTATATTAACACCTTCACTTGCTTGTTTAAAGCTAATAATAACTATAGTAACTAAAGTTTTATAGTTTTTAAATAATAGTAATTATAGATTTTTAATTAAATTGACAATAGCTCCTAGTTCTAGGAATTGTTCTACTTTTTAAATATTTTCATGATAATGGCAGATTGTTAAAATTTTGTCATTTGTTATTCCAGATCTCCAAATAAATTCCTCTCTGGCATCTCTATAGCAATTAAATCGTTAAATCAATCATTTTTCATTTAGTCAGTTTAATCAGATTAAAAACCCAACGGAACCCAAAAACCCAATAAACCAGAAAATTTATGAAAGACAACAGTTTCAAAGTTATCTTGATTTTGTTAAAGTTAAAAAACAATTATTATTTTTGAGTAAAACATGGCCCACAGTGTCACGGCCTCATGGACCCACTGGTTATCAGCCCTGAAATCAATTTTACACAAATGCTAAAATTTTCAGAGGTCCAGTTTGTCAGGAAAGTCATGAAAAATTTATAGTAAGACAAATAATCCAGCCCCCTCCCTCCCTAGTGTATTGGGCCCTGGAAACAACTTGAACATCCACATTCATTGACACTACAGAAATCTCAAATATATAAATCCATATACTTGTAGATCAAAACCCTTACATTTTCTAAATGATTAATAAATATAGAATAATATGTAAAAAATTTTGATATATTTTTTGAGTATCATAATCAGGTATATAAAAAATTGCCAAAATTTACTATAATTGATTAATGCAAGTACTTTATAATAATTTTTTATGATCATATTATTGGATTTTTCTGTCTTGAAAATAGCCAGGTACAAATTTTTAACTAAAAAGGTCAAATTTTTTAAAGTTATGTGACTTGAGGCCTCTAAATAAATGTTGCAATTCTGAGGCGACAAGAGGGGCTTGGCAAATACCTTCTAAAAGTAAAATAGTCATATTTTAGGATCTTTTTGAAGTGTAAAAAACTCAGCAAAATCTAGAAATAGGTTGACATTTTTCAATATTTTTGGATCATTTGGCATAGAATTAATAAAAGTAAACAAGTATACTCTATAAGTATACTTTATAAGAATACTTTATAGGTATATTTTACAAGTATACTTTATAGATATACTTTACATGAATACTTTATAGATATATTTAGAGGCCTGGCTAGGATTTTGGCGCCCTTTACAAATACATTTTTGGACCTTTAAAGTCAAAATTGAATTTTTTTTAAAAATATGCACGACAAAAAAAAAAAAGAAAACAATTACAGGAAAAAATAATATGTACAGGACTCAAATAAACGCAAAAAAAAAAAAAAAATCTAATTGCAAAAAAAAATATTTTTTTTAAATCTAATTTTATCCCTGGTGCTACTTTGCGGTAAAGGGGGTTGTATTAGTATAAAGCTGTATATTATCTACATTAGTTCGTAACTGTTATTTTTTAACAATTACGAACTAATGTAGTGTACATAATATCTTTAATATTTAAATTGAAATATTAATAATATAAAATGCATTTAAAATAAAACGAAATAAATAATTTAAATAAATTAAAACATCGTCATAAAATTTTATACTTATTTTTGCACAAAAACACGCTTATAGACCATGAGACTAAAATCTATAGACCATGAGACTAAAATCTATAGACCATGAGACTAAAATCTATAGACCATGAGACCAAAACAAATAAAGCTCAAAGCAGATACCATGCCTTTTATAATTTATTGTTTCTTGATCTAGTTGTACTAGAACTATACTTAATATTTTTCATTTAAATTGTTTTGCGATAAAAATGAAAAAAAAAAGTTGGTCTAATAAACCAAATTATATTTCCTTAAGTTAAATTAAATTCCTTTAGTATATGCTTAAATTATTTTTTTAGAAAAAAAATTTCTTTGAACAGAAATAAAATTAATTTTTTTTGATAAAAATTTTTTACAATTTAATTTTTGGTTTAACGTTTGCAATAATCACTGTTGCACTCCTACTAAAAATGAAAATAGGTTAATAACACAGGTCAACAAAAAAATTTTTTTCATGGTGCCGAGCAAACAGTTAATTTTTTTTATAGCATTTCTCATTTCGATATCAAATATGCAACTCATTTTTCACCATTATGTCAAGTTTTAGAAATATTTGGGTTCAAATTTTTAGTATTTGGGGTAAAATCCTTAATATTGTTGAAAAAAAAGTTATTCAAAAGTATGTCAACCTGGGTCTCAAAAAAAGCATATTTTTACAGAGATTTTAAAAATATTATTCGTTTGTTATAAAAATAAGTACTTTTTGTATTGTTGCTGAAAAACATTTTTTAAAAATGTTTTTAAGAGTCTTTAGCATTTTTTCACATAAATTTTTTTTCAATGTTCAAATATTTTAAAAATACTTTCTAAAATCTCTATAAAAATACACTTCTTTTGAGACCCAGAATGACATACTTTTGAATAACTTTTTTTTTCAACAATATTAGGAATTTTACCCCAAATACTAAAGAATTAAACACAAATATTTTTAAAACTTGATGTGATGGTAAAAAATGAGTTGCATATTTGAAATCAAAATGAAAAATCCTATAAAAAAAATTTAAGTATCATTGACTAGTTTTTACGTGAGTGACACAAAACATAATTTTGTAAATTATAACTAAATTTGTAGTTTTTAATTTTATGGTTAAATGGATAAAAAAATAAAACAAATAAAATAAAAAAAAAATTACTAAAAAAAATTTACACTACAACACAAAACTCGCAGATAATAGTCTCAAATTCAAAACACAGCACTACACGTAAAACATGTATGATCAATCAAAATATAGCTTTAACTTCATAGGTATATTTGACAAGTATACTTTGTAGATATATTTAACAAGTATATTTTGCAGATACATTTTATAAGTATACTTTGTAGATATATTTTACAAGTATACTTTGTAGATATATTTTACAAGTATACTTTGTAGATATACTTTAAAAGCATACTTTGAAGATATATTTTACAAGTATACTTAGTAGGTATATCTTACAAGAATACTTTGTAAATATATTTTACAAGTATACTATATATATATATATATATATATATATATATATATATATATATATATATATATATATATATATATATATATATATATATATATATTATAATAAAAATTTTATAATTTAACTCAAAACTTAACTTTTTTAACACGTTCACGCCGGCGTGTACCACCAGTGGTACACACTAGACTGTCTCATTGGGCGGCGTGTACCACTGGTGGTGTAAAAATTTGAATTGTTAAAAAGTTTATTGTAAAAGGTTTTTACAATTTATTTCATTAAAAAAATAATATACATAATAATAATGATAAAATAATATACACAATAATAAAGTTGAGAGATTATACTAATAACTCCACTGTATAAATTAAATCAGAAAGATTACAGCTAACATCAAAAAATTGTGTGATATAAAGGCATTAAACTGTTATTGACATTTTTAATCGACATGTGACTCACTTCTGATTAATGAGACAAAAATTTATTCTATTTAAAAATAAATACTGGTCTTTGTATAAGGCACATTAAAAAATAGCTTTAAAAAATTTGAACACTCTGGTAAAATTTAAGTGTAAAATTTTTTTTACCTGTGCTGCAACTGTGTGTGAACGAGTTGGAAAAAGTTTTGTAACACAAGCTGTTTTAAAGCCAGCATTTGCAAGTCCAAAAGCAGCTCTTAAACCTGCTCCACCAGCTCCAACAACTACACAATCATATGTATGATCAACCACTGGATATTGGCGACTTAACTATATAAAAATAGAATTAAAATAATAAAACCATTATTAATACCCACTAATATCAACCTAAATACATAAATACATACAATTTAGTAAATAATCAGTTACTATTACTTACCATTAACAATAATCAATATATACAAGTTATCTAGGTTAATCTTTATACTATTTCATGCATTTGACTTTGTGTTATAAACTTATTTAAGTGTGTGGTTATAACACAACAGTCTCCTAATAATTTAAAAAAAAACTAAAAAAATATAAAAACACAACATTTTTGATAAGACAACTTATCAAAGAAATATTTTATGAAGTTAAATATTTATCTGGAGCTGATCTTCAAATGATTCTCTTTCTTTTTTAGATAAGGTGCAAAAACACATTGTAAACATAGTTTGACCTGCTCTTGCAGCCAACCTTTAACCTTTATTACACCATCATAAAGTTGTCTTTCTTTTTTCTATAAATACTATAATAAACACTACTATAAAGAGCTAGTATCTCTTGTGTCATTCAATCAAGTTTCATCCTGTGTTTCATCGAAGTGATCCTAGTTATTTTCCTTGAACATCAGTTTGTTAAAATTTGCTTCTTATTTTGCTGATTCATATAATTTGTAATCTTTTAAGTCATCTGTTAATTATCATCTTGATTAATAAACTTTATATTTTCTTTTCCAGTAACTTCCACCTTCAATAGTGATTGTTGGAAGAAAATATCTGATAGCTAAAATTATTTGTTATGTAACAAGTGATGAGTGCATGGTTCATTGATGTCCAAACTCTCCAGGTATAGTTTCTTTAAACCAGTTTCTGGATCCCCAACTAATTGACAATGACAATCATGAAAAGGTCTCATTTAATCAGAGGCAGAAAACAAACAGAACAAGATTGATCTGTCAGATAAAAACAATTAAAGAATACAAATTGATGTTATCAAAGGCAATAAACAAATTAACAGCTTATTTCTAGACTGCAAAATGTCAAGCAAGATTCTTAGATGATTTTGCAGAAAACTACACAAGTGATTTAAGATGACATCATAAGTTACCATTGGTGCTAAAATCAAAGAACGTTACATCAAACTGCTCTCTATCTATTGAACAAAAATGACTAACTTGAAAAAAAAAAAACATTTTGCTTTATGTCAGAAAATAATAAGCATGACATTATTATTATTAAAGGCACAATTAGTTAATTATTTAAAAAAATCATCCTAATATTTCAAAGATTCTTTATTTTTCAGATGGTTGTGTTACACAGTATAAAAACCACAAAAACCTTTACAATATCTGTCTCCATAACGATGATTTTGACATTAATGCAGAATGGAAATTTTTTACTACAAGTCATGCTAAGTCACAATGTGATGGTATTGGTGGCACTGTGAAACAATTAACGGCGAATGCAAGTCTACAAAGACCTATAAACAACCAGATATTGAATTATAATAAAATGTTTGACTACTGTACAAATAATATTATAGGGATTAATTTTTTCAAGATTGAAAAAGACTGACTGAATTGTGCAACACTTTGAAAAAACATTTTCAGCTAAGTAGAACAATTCCTGGAACTAGGAACTATCATCAATTTAACCCAGAATTTATAGATACTATTAGCTTTAAATAAATAAGTGAACATTTTAACATAAAAAAATTGAATAACAGAAAAAATAAACATGCCTATTGCATGTTTACTTTTTCTGTTATTCAAAGTATTCAACCTCATCAAATTAACATCAATACATTGGAATTTAAAAACAATTTTAACATGTGCATTCATTGGCACTACAGAAACCCCACAACTTTCATAGCTCCAGCTAGTCTGGTAGGTAGTAAAAAATCAATCACAATATTCTACTACAAAAAAGTAGGGACCGTGCCCTGTTCTTAGTGTATGAAAATCCATATACTAGCAGATCAAAATCTTTATATTTTTTGAAAAATCATTAAATATAGAATGATGTGCAAGCCTTCATGAGAGGCGTGTGCAGTCACACGTCTTGTTTATCCACGTTTTTTTAGACACACTGACCTCAGCAGTTCTAATCTTTTAACTTTTTAAGTGCTTCAATAATTTGCAGCAAAAAGTTATCTACTTTAAGTAAAACTTATCTACTTTAAGTAAAACAATTTAAAAAAAAAGGAAAAGAAATTGTAACATAACATCAAATTTTAATTAAATGAACTAGAAAATTTAATTATTTGAAAAAAGAAAATTAAAATAAATTTTTATACAAATTTTGTATTCTTTCTTTAGGTTAGTTGTCATTTTTGGCTACCGAATTTAACACGTTGAGGAAAAAACATATTTTATAAAAATTTAACAATTGAAAGTTTTGATATGAATTTATTTGCAAAATTTTATTAATTTTTTTTCTTATGTTTATTTGTCTCACGTTTTTTCCCTTTCAAAAATTTTTTTACTTTATTTGAAATTTTTTCACAATACTTTTATAATAAGAAAAAAAGAAAATAAATTTATTTTTTTCCTATTTATTTGTAAAAAATATTATTTGAATAATAAATTTTGTAATGGCAGACAAAATTAAATAAAAGAAGTGCATGGTTTCTTTTATAAATGTATTTACCACATCTATGTCTGTCTGAAATTTTATCCTTTATATAGCCCAATTTCCAACATTAATACAAAATACAAGAGATAATGAACATAACACAATTGCTCTGTTTGAAAAAGTGTATTTAAAAACTAAAAAAATGTTTTAAATAAGCTCCTAAATAATTTGCTGAAAAAGCAAATTATTTAGGATTTTTTTTTTTTTTTACAAATAAATAGCAATAAGTTTTCTCACTTTCCTGTGCATTGTGCAAGTTTAGCAAAAACATTTGAAAAACAAATTTCAAAATTGTTCATATTTCTAGTATATGTGCAAATAAATTGTATATCAAAAATGTATTTATTTTTGTTATATTCTTATCTGCTATTTTCTTCGAGTAGTATCAATTTGGTAGTGGACAATAACAATATAATAACATAGCCTTAAAAAAGAAAACAAAAACAGTAAAATATTTAGGTATATTATTTTTTAACAAAAATTTAATTTTTTTAATTTTTAATTTTTTTTAGTTTACTTTATTTAGATTTTTTACTTCATATAGTATTTGCTTTTTTCAAGTATTTCTGCTTTTACTTTATATAGTATTTGCTTTTTTCGAGTATTGCTGTTTTATTTTCTGTAGTTTCTTATAGCTTTATTTTTGCCGCAAATTCTAACAACACTTACTATATAAAACTTGGTCAAGTTGTCTAAAAAAATTACTCTAAACGTAGATGAATAAGGTATGCAACCGCATACACTTCCCAGGAAGGCTTAATGTGTAATTTTTTTTTCCTGATATCATCAAGGCCACATGAGTTTCTTGAGCATTAAAAACAGGTCTATACAAAATTGCCTAAATTTATTTAATTTAGTAAAGGTACTTAATAATAAATTTTTATATATCTGATCATTTCATTTGATTCCTCACCCTAAAAATAGTCAAGTACAAATTTTTAAGTAAAAAGATGAAATATTTTTAAGTTATGTAACTTGAAACCTCTAAATAAATGTTGGACTTCAAGTAGGGAAAAAAAGAGGGGCCAAATTAATATATGCTAAAAATTAAATGGTCATACTTGAGGATCTTCTTGGAGAAAAAGGCTAAAATTTTCAAGGAATTCTATGCAACTAAGTACTCTCAACTGTATAAAATCAGCAAAATCTGAAATTTATGGTGACATGACCTAGGTCGTTTGACTATGAATTACCCTATAGTTTTTTTAATATATGATAGATTACTTTCACCACAAGATATTTATGATGGTAACGGTTGATAAAACAGGGAATTTACTTAATTTTATAACTTATATTTTTGTAAAGAATATGGAAATAGTTTTTTTTTATTATTATTATTGCATAATAAATAAATAAAATAAGCAATATATAATAGTTATTAATAATATAAATAAGATAACACAAACTTAACGTTTTTTTTATCATTAAAATTAATTTTAATATATTTTTATTGAAAATATTTCAATTTATTTTTCGAAAAATATGTTACTTAATAATCAATATATTATTTTATTATTATAAACTAAATTTTATAGGCAATTTAATAGTAACATAAAATTTTAAACTTACATTCGTAATTAAAGTCAAGTCATTAAACTTACTTCCCCCTTGGTTATTTTGTCACCTGTTCTGCTGCCTTCAATTGTGAAGTGAAAACTACGAATACATGAAGGAGCAAGCTAAATAAAAACAAAATTAAAGTGTATGAGCAAATTTAAACACATAATTAAATAAATTATAGTAACAAAAATAACAAATATTCTTAAAAAAAAATAAAAATTATAACTAAAAAAAAAAATTCAATATTAATAGAGAACATATTGTTAATATAGAACTTTAATGACATTAGCAGGTCATTTTTATATTTTACAAAACTAAAAGCTCAGTTTAATTTAGCCAACCATTTTGTAAGTTTTAACTTCAAAAAAAAGTAAAAAAAACAAAAACTTGTAAACCAGCAACATGTTCTGCTGCTTTGTAGGAATCAATTTGTAGGTAAATGCTAGAATAAGCTTAGTTAGTAAAATTTCTTGTCTGAGATATTGCTGAATCTTCTTGACTCTAACTAATGGGTTTTTGAAATCTCCTAATAGCTCTAAGTTTTTGTAATCTCTTATAGCACTAAAACTCAGTTTAATAGTTCTGAGGTCAGCTGGTAGCTTTTTTGTGGTACCTTTCTTCTATCTATGGCTTTAAAATAAAATATGAATGATGCCATGCTGCATATGAAAAGTGCCACTGCTGGTGCTTTTATTGTATATTGTTGCAGCAACATAAAAAAAAAAAAAATTACCACAAGACCACACAAATAGATAATTGGGTTCATTATAAAGACTAAAGCAATTGCATACCATTGCTAGGCAACACCTACAATCAATTCAGATTTTTTGATAACTTGAAACAATTCTATAAAACCTAAATAAGTTAAACAGGATAAAATCATCAATTTACACAAAGCTTTATATTTTTATTTTGTATGTTTTTCTTTTCAAAAGACATTCAGCAAGTAAAAAATATTCTTTTAAACATTTAGTTTAATAAAAAGAATTCAATATAAGTAAAAAGATTATATATAAAAACAACTTGGTATTGTTGTTTTGTAAAAATTGTTGATTATTCTGTATTGATCAAAGACAAAACTCTTAATGAGTCCTATCTTTACATTTTTTTAGATTACTGTTCACTACTGAACTATTATATTTTTATATTATAATTATATATTATGCTCACAATGGAATATTCGCTTTCTTACTAATAAACATGTAATAAAGCATACACTTGACCGGAATCCAGACATAGTTTTCATTACTGAAACATGGATGACTTCTGGAAACAATAATACAACAACAATGATAAAAAATTATGGATATGTTTTTCGTCACAAAATAAGAAAAGAAAGTGATAAAGAAAAAGGTGGCGAGATAAAAATTATGTTAAACAATCAATTAACCACAAACAACTACCAAATATACAGTTTCACTCCTTTGAACAGGTTTGTATCAAAATTACTGCAGCTAAAAGAACCACTAATTTTAATTTACATTTTTAGACTAATATTTATCTCTCATGATGCATTTCTATATGAATTCATGGATTTATTTAAAACAATTGTATCAACAGGTTGCACATATATAATAGCGAGTGATATTGATATATACTTAAATAGAACAAAAAATAGAAAAAAAAGTTATACCATACTATTAAATACAGGAATTTTAAAACAGTGGACATATAGTCCTTTAACAATGAAATATCAAGAAATTAACCAGAAATATCATCAGCTGAAAATATGAAAGAAAAAATAACCATATATAATCAAATAATGAAAGATATTGTAAAGAAAAATGTTCTTTTGAAAACAAAAAGAGCAAAAATAGTCAAAACACCTCTTTGGTTTGATGGAGAATATATGCAACTTAGACAAAAGCGAAGAAAAGCAGAAGAATTGTTTAAGAGAACAAAATATGAAAGTGACAAAAAAGAATATAAATGCTCAGGAAAAAAACAATTGCTTATTTAAAAAAAGAACATTTTTCTCTAACCTATTAAATAAAAACACTACAAGTGAAAATCTATTCTCATTGGTAAACAAGTTACTTGATAAAACTCAAGAATATATATTACCAACAGCCGACTCAGACAAAGAACTAGCTAACAATTTAAGTAATCATTTTACTAAAAAAATCATAAAACACAGGTCTAATCTTCTAATATCCCAAACAAAGAAAAATACATCAGATTATAATGGTAAGATTTGAAGAAATTTTGATCCAACAAAATACAAAGAAATTTACAAAATAACCATCTCATTTTTAGTAAAATGTTTTCCTGATAAAATGATTCCAGCACATCTACTACAGAATAATTTACAAACATTTATACATGGGTTGAAATAGTAAACCTATCGATAAAATCAATCAGCATAAACTGTCTAAAAAGTGCTACATCACTTCCAATAATAAAGGAGTTAGACTCAGCCACAGATACTGAAGACTTCAAAATTGATAGACCAATTTCTAATTTAATATTTATTAGCAAGCTAATAGAAAGAGTAGTTTCCAACCGTCTTGAATCCCATATGACAACAAACAATCTTCATATAGAATTAAAATTGTTAAAATTGTTAGCTCATATTACATGAACCACAATGTAAAATATGGAGTACCACAAGGTGCAGTTCTTTCCCTATATATATATATATATATGAGACCACATATATAAATATCTGCACATATTCAATGTAAAAACCTTTGGATACTCAGATGATCATCAAATTTTAAAAGCATTCCTTCCTTGATCTCAATATAATGCACTAGTCCTGGATATACCAAAATCATTCTTATGTATCAACCAATCAAAAACAAAAATATTAATTATGGCACCCCCTAGCATTCAAAAAGAAATTGTTAAAGATACTTTTGTTAACAAACTTATTTGATTTTATTGACTCAGCAAAAGGTTTAGGTGTGATACTTGACAATCTTTAAAAACACAAATAAATAAGATTGTAAAAAACTGCTACAATATATTGAGCAAGATATCTAAAATGAAATAATTATTATTACACAAAGACTTGTGCACCATTGCAATTTCACAATTTGCACATTTAGATTATTGTAACTCCCTCTACTTTGGAATTGAAAAGACACTATTAAAAAAGTTGCAGTCTGTTCAAAATTGTGCAGCAAGACTAGTATTTAAAACTAGAAATAGAAAATCACATAAAAGACCAAAAATTTAACAATTTGCAATGGCTGAAAATTAGAAAAAGAATTTATTTCAAGGTCCTTTTAATAATGCACAAATCTATTATTCTGGAAGCACCAATATCATTATGCAATTTAATTCACTAATGTCAGAAAGAACACTAAATATAATGGAAACAAAATGCAGTAATTGTTTTGGCAATTGAGCATTATCCCACTATGGTCCTAAACTTTAGAATATACTTCCAAATATCATCCATGACGAAAAAAAAAAAACTATTTATGAAAAAAACTACAATCTTATTCAATAGTGAATGTTGAACTATTTCACAAGAAAATTCTTGAATGTTGAATTAAAAACTCTTGAATATTAATATCAAAAATTTAACTAATATATTAATTTGTTGCACAGCTGTCCATGTGTTTTGCCAACTTTATCCATTATTCTGGCAAAACCAGTTGCTGTGGGTAAACCTATGTATTTATGTATTTATTTATCATAGAAACCATATAATCAATTGTAAAATTAACTTTTGCTGAAATGACTTCTCTATATAATGCTAATTGTTTGCTGATTTCATTCTCAATATCTATAAATCTCTCATTTGTCATTCTATGCAAAGTTGTCATATTTAGCTAATTCAATTTTAATCTGGCTTTTTGTTAGACAAAGTCAAATATTGAATTGTGAATGTTAACAGAACTGCTCAAGTTTATTGCTGTGGGAATGCATTTCTTTCTCTTGTCTGCTCAGGCAAGCATTTATTTCTTGTTTTACTAACGAAAACTCAATATTATAAAAAACTAAATTGTGTAACTCATCATCAACTAAAGCCTTGTCTTACTACACTAACTGTTCTTTTA